TTTTTCATTGCGAGTGGTTAGTTTCCTTCATAAACTTTGACCAAACATCAAGAAGACTTAATTTGTTTGAATTGTGTAATGCATATGGCCAAGACATTTCGAACAATTTGATCACACATTTACTTTTCATAGCCATTTATATGGAAGATTATAAGGACTTACGGTGGGGGGGGGGTTGTGAAAGGTGATGAAGTAGGAGAGCTAAAGTAGCAGCATAAAAATAAGCGTCCATCACAATTCGGTTTCATAGTTGTATTCACCAAGGGAGATATAATGCGATGTTTTTGTAGAAACATAGTCAGCTTAAACGTCCTGGTTACTAAGGCCTCGGCAAAGTAAAGCATTCTTGACCAACTTATTTTGTAAATGGATCTACATGATATAGAATAGTTAATCCTGTGGCCTATCTGAACGATCTATTTCTTGATCGAAGAACTTGAATGTCTGCTGCTAACCTTTGTTAGTTCTGCCGATTAGATTTTATTTTGAAGTGAATTTAGAATGTATCCCGACACCCTTACCTACATGGATTTATCAGTCCTTCCTTTATGTGTTACCAAACATGTTTTTAAATCGTTAGACGCAATAGAATCTAGTATTATCCTTCACATGCTGTAAGGGTTTGCGAAAATACACAGATTTGGTAGTTTCTACTAATGGCACCTTAGCTGCTTAAGAACTGAGCCGTGACAGTCACTTTTGTCGAGATCGTTTCCGTATCCTTGAGACCAATTTCAGAAAAGGGTTCCGGATGGATCCTTAAATTTATCTAGGCTCTAATTGTTAGAAAGTCTAAGCTAAATTCAAGTACTCAGAAGCGATTTATTATCACATTAAACCTGCCATGGTGAATTCAACTCTGAAATCAAGTTTGTTGTACTATTATTTCTCTTCTAGTGATTTTCATTGTTATTTCATGTTTCTATATGACCGTTTTTCATATTCCCACACCTTATTTCATGATAATCTTTCATATAAATATCGATGACAAGAACACGTGTGATTAGATTGTTCGAAATATGTTCAGCAAGCATATTGCGCAATTCAGATGAATTTCTATGATTATAGATTTCAATTTTTCAGTCATTAATATATATAACTGCCTTTGGATGCACTTCAGTGATTCGTAGATAATAACTGCAGCTTAGACTTTAGCGCATACTTAAGAACAATAAACGATTCTGGAATACCTTAGAGAGGTATCTTCCTGATCCCATTTTAGATTTAACCACTGTTATTTCTACTTTGTACTAAATTCATCGATTTCAGTGCTACCAGTAGGGATATATCCTAACAACCAACTGTGCCCCATTAAAGCATTAAATGATTCATCCATCTGGATATCAGTCACCAATCAGCGATGAATAGCTATCCAGGTGTCTGAGTGGTGACATACTCATTATTGAAACTCATAGTCTTAAGCTCATTTTTACAGAGGACTTTGAATGCGCACTTCATAGAGGTCATAAATTGGGATGATATTTTCGGAAATTTCGGATTGTAAAAACATGAACGCATCATTCTTTAAATTCATAAATTTAACCTGATAGAAATTTTACTCGGTCTTTTCGCCGCCTTTTTATGCATCATGAGTATCCCTGGGTTTCATCGCTTCTAAGGACAGTATTTTCCTATTGGTTGTTGTCCTACTTTTAATATGTTAAATTGTCTATTTGCATTAAGGGCGTTCCTATTGTATTTAAACCCATGAACTGTAAACGTTATTTTCATACTCTTACGAATGAAGTAAAGACACTGCAGTCTAGTACTGTCCTCTTCAATGTCAGATTTCCTTCATTCGGTATCCATATTAAGCGTCTCTATTTTTGAATTGTTCTCAAGCTGATTTCAGGGCGCGATAAAACAGTCTTAAAATTTAGTCGAATCACCTGATCATTTCAATATTCAGTAAACAAATTGGTGGCCGAATGTTAAAATGGACAACGGTATTATAAGATATAAATAGGAAAAAAATTGAGTTGTGGTTTACTTACTGACTAACAGCGAAATCCAGGATGTATGTTTCGTCCCATTTGAGACTTATCAGCCCGGTGTACACAAGCACGGTAGGGGATGGTGGTCTTACTAGGACTCGAACCTGTCAGCCATCGCTCCAAATGGTAAGGCTATGGAGGCAAAAGGGGAGCCCCTTGTGGATGAATTAAGTTAATCAACCAGAGGTTCCTGCTTTGAATGGCGTCTTGACTTGAGCTTCCTGTCAACTGTCTGCGTAGTCATCCCTAAACAGGGAATTATTTTAGTCAAACAGCGATAAGTGTGGTCAGTCAACCAATAAGAAGGAATCAGCCTCATGTTATCTCCACCTATTATAAGATTATTATTTGTCCCTTGGATTCCTAGTGGAACATAGGGCTTAAGTAGCACGTCTTCATTGCACTCGCTTCTATGCAGTCTTCTCAACCTGACTCCACAAATTCCCAGGAGCTTTCATTTCCTCCTCACACCATCTCCTCCATGTCACCGTAGTCTCGAACGCCCAACTCGTCGTTCCCCATTTGGATTCCACTCGAGGGCGTGATGTCCCCAAACGGTCTTCTCAATGTATACCCAATCCAATCCATCTCCACTTCCCTCTGCATATTTGTTGGGCGATGGGTTCTTGCTTCGTTGATTCATTGCCAGCCGGCCAGAGTTCCTTGTTGCTTATTCTTATTATTCTGGCCATCTCATCTGATCTTCAGTATCGAGTGAGCGTAGGTGGCGGCTGTTGATGCATGTCTACAGTTTGTTGGAAATGCTTTTCGTAACACGCCAAGTCTCCCAACCATCACATACAAGCACTGACTTGACTGACTTAGTGTTGAAAATCCGAATCTTGTTCATTATACTGAGTGCAGTGCAGTAGATCTCCACACTGATTTCACATTAATCAAGGCCCGTTTTGGTATCTTTCCGATCCCGGCTTTGACATTCTTATCTGTGCTTGTACTGCCTGTAGTTTAAACAATACTGCCTAGGTAGGTGAAAGAGACTACTTCTTTTGGGTTTCTCCCGTTCGTGGTGATTGGTGCTTGTTGTTGTTGGTGGTTGGGTATCTTCATCACCTCTGTCTTCGCTACGTTCACCTGAATCCCGTCTTCTCTGCTTTACCTCTTCTGTCAACTTGTTGGTTTTTGCCTGTAGATCTTCGAGTTTGTGCCACAAGACATTAGACATAAATCATCATCGTTGGCGAAATCCAAATCTCCTAGACTCTTTTCACCGGTCAGATAGCGTATGCCCATATTCTCACAGCTCCTCACAGTTTGTTGCATGATCCAGTCCAGTCGAGTCGACCACAATCAGGAAGATCATTGGTGACAGTATGCGGCAATCTTTTCTAACTCCTGTCTTCGCTTCAAAGATATCATTGAACTTTCCATTGTGTATCCACCTAACTTCCTAGTAAACTTCACAAAAGAGGAAATACTCTAGGAGACAAATGTTTTCATCCATTTAATAATAAAAAGCTGTTCAGTTGCATTTAATTATCACTGATCAGTCTATACACTAAATGATGAACAACAGGTATCTATATTAGTCAATCAAAAATTAGGAACACAAAAGATAAGAAGTGTTATGAAGTTTTAGGGATCTACGGTGTTGAATAAATGTATAGGGATTCGTCAATAAAATTATACACCGAAAAATCTTCCTCAAAATATATACCATGGTGCTCAAAGTGAGTTGTTCTCTGAGCTAGAGTACTAGTTGGCAAACTTCGTAGGTAGTCATGTGCAAAGAATCACTTCACTTCTTTTTGAAGCTTCACTGCAGTCATGATCTTATCTAGTATAACAATGAAGTATTCGACAACTAAAACGTTAGTTCAGAGAACAACTCACTCTGAACATTTACCCCCACAGCTACACAATTTCGCGGCAATACGCAGAAATACGTTAAAAAGAACTACTTTTGGTTTTGCACTTCAGCGATGATGTAGCGGATAAGAACATTCTCAAACATTGATCAACACAAGCTGTAATTTTAAGAATCATGTACACCAACCGTTCAATGGTGAACACCTGTGTGAAGGACAAATTAACACTACTAGCTGCTTCAACCTGAATATATCAGTTCATTTGCTCTTGCGGAGCTACAAGGGTAGACTGTTCTCAGAGGTACATAGTTCGGTGTCAACAAGAATACCTTGAGATATGGCTCAGGGAAAGGTGAATTCAGATTAGTCAGAAGGCCTATCCAACAATACTCTGTCGACAGTGAATACAGAATTTTAGAAGATTTCTTTTGTGATATTTATGAAATCCACAAGGAGTTTTCGAATGGTATGAGTAAACGTACATTACGATTTGCTGAAACTGTAGAAATACAGAAGTGGAAGCCAGAATTGAATACTCAGAAGCAAGTTTTTTTCATTCACTTTGTTTAGTTAGTCTTCAGTGTCCACTCATTGGATCTAATGCAGTCGTACAGAAGGTCAAAATTTGCCTCAGTATCTCAGTGGTAACATCTGTAACTACAATGCGGGGTGATGTGAGTCTGAATCTATCTGTCTGTCGAGACTACTGATGAGTACAGGCAGGCATGAAACACAGGTCAGGCAGAGTTTCTTTCTGATGGCCTGCAGCCAACTAACATCTATCAAAGTGCGTAGCTTTGCTGATCATATTAAAACATGATCTACTGGACTTAGTCAGAGCTCAGCACCAGACCACGCCAAATTACTCTCTGGTAACCAACCAATCCACCTAATCCAGTCCAATAGAAGGTTGCGATATTTCAGCGGTAACATCTCTGACTGCAGTACTGACTGATGCAGGTTCAAACCCAAGTCTCCTTGAGGTTGCAGGCACGTCTTTTTGACGAGTTCCAATAAACACTAGCGCTTGCTACCGACTTCGTCTAAATGTCTAACTCTATTTTGTTCAGGAATCTTCTGACTTGTGTTGCCACTGTTCTATTCTCTGTATGTTTGTGACAGAAGATAAAAATAAATAATAGTCTTACCCAAATATTATTTTTCATGTTCTCTTTTCTAGTTGTCTGCAGATAGAGGTTTTCTTGTTGGATTCAATAAATACTGGCCACCTAAAGGTGTCAACAGAAATCTAGGAGTTATATCGTCGGTCAAAGCAGTTGATGAATCAGCCTCAGATGTCTTCGTTCTACATCGTGGTGATCGAATATGGGATAATAAGTAAGTTACACTTGAGTAGGCAAAGTGTATCCGGTTAATGATTTCATTCTAATCCAAGTCATTTATTCATTCAAAAATCGATTAGTTGAATGATGAAAAGATGGTAACTAGTAACAGATTTGACACGGTGGATAATAAACTATGCTACGTAATAGCGGATTTGGTTTTGTTTTGAAAATGTTGACTAATAAGAGTGATGTGCCCATCGGTTACGTAGTCTGCAAAGTTTCAGAGTTTAAATTTGAATTTTTTCTACATTTCATATACTATCAGTTGATTCCAGAAAAAGAAACTAGTCATGCAAATCTCCAGTCCATTACATTCTACTGAAAAGCATAAGCATTTGGAAACCATATAAAGGTTGATCTGGAGATTACAATGGTTATATCAGAAAACTGTTTTACTCATATAAGGCTGAACTAATCAGTAATGCACTGGAATAAATTCAGCTCACAGAGGAGCTGAACTGAACCTGGTTGCTTGAATGGGATTAGCTGGAAAACTATAATTTGCAGTATCAATTTTCAAATCCTCACCCCCCCCCTTTTACTATCCACGATGATCTTTCTCAAAGTTGGTGAGTTTTTAACTGCTCATCTGTAGTGTCAACAGGATTTCCATTAGAAATCACATCCCAGTCAGGTGAACAAAATGTGACATCTGACACAAAAGTATTATGAGCTAACAAAATAAATTACTGCTTAACAAGTTGAGTAGTTAGGAACTACTCAAGGTGGTCTGTAAGTTTCACCAGCCGGCCATATGAGAGTGACTGTAAATGCTGTTGGGATTTTGCCTACTAGTTTGGGTACTCGGGTTTCAGACTATGCACCCTTGGTTCTAACTTTCCACCACCTACTTCACTTTCGATAACAGGTAAACATCATAAGCTCTCATACAATTAGAATGGCTTATATAGCCTAATACTCAAATGCCTGTACGGGGTTGACATGGAATGTCAAACCTCATTGCAGCTTGAGATTACGACTACATGGTTCTCAATGGTGACCTTTTTGACAACATGATTGGACATTTCCAAGGCTCTTCAGCTATGAGACACGTTAGGATTGACTCAGCGATTCCTAATTAGTTTTTAGATTAATGGAGTCAATGAACATGAAGTTAAGCTTATCGTTTATTTTTACTAGAATTCATCAGTAAAGCGTATCTGAAGTCCAAAAGCTGGAAAGTGTATCACTCAGTGGTGAAGTCAGACGTCTTTCTATTTAGCTATTTAAGCCAAATTGTTCACCTCTTTGATAGGATATGAATCCATCCAAGTTAAACAACGAGTTTAGTATGGTCTGAACACTTCGGCTATGTCAGCTAAATTTGTCCAATTTTCACAGCTGAGAAATTTGACGCTGAACAACAAGGTGAATGAATTCTGGTACTTAAACCACGTCCAGCTATTTGATGAAATCTGCGGACTGTCATGAGTGATTTCAAAGTGCTCATATGAAGAAGTGGGAATCACTCAGCAGACTTGTATGCACTCGTGCAGTAAGCAGTGAGCTAGTGATACCACCTGCCCGCTCATACCTCAGCAGGTGGAACTAGGTTCGGACCCGTGATGTATTGTTTGGAGATCAAGTGCCTAGACCAATTAGCCATAGCCTACTGTACACATTACTATAATTCTTAAGTCAAAGCACTTTTGTATACCTCGTCACGTCAAATCCAAGTGAAATTCTGTTGTGTATGTACACATTCTGTTAATGCTGGATTTCTGCTTAACAGCAACTTTCTGAACCACATAATTTCTCCACATTACCTCTAACACTGGTCTTACAAGAAATTAATCATACATATGTTTGCCATGCTTCATATCCAGATTTCACTCGCACGATGAGTAACACAACTTACACCTTGATCCATTCACCCACCAACTTCGTACAACAGAATCAAAATCTTCGCACTTATCATTCGTGTAAATTTAGCAGTCTAAATCGTCCCTTTATTCAGTTGAGTTTCTTGTCCATGATGCAACATCATTCATAAAAATGAAACAACCAATTTCAAGCGGAGAAAACGGGATAGTACACAACAATAATCGTGATTTCACTCAATGGGCAGTGATTTCAGTACTACAAGTCACACAGTAATCAATGAACAACCAATCGAAAGCTGTTAAAACAAGCTAACAATAATGCTATTTAACAACTCATTAGAAAAATACCTTTTAAGATAAATAAGATAATACGACTGATAATACTTATCAAGTGGTTGCGAAATCACATTAAATTTATGTATTAGCTGCATGACTCTTGTATTATTGATGCCTGTGTAGTATGGAATGTATCTAGCGTGATACATTTTGGCTCATGCTTTTCTTCGGATCCTTTTTGTTCCTTTCATTATTCTAGTGATTCCGGAGTAACGTTTTCGCTACACGTTTTATATAAGCCAGCTGTTCGGAATAACACGGGTTCTCCAATCACTGAGTAACGACTGTTCTTATTTATCGTTACACCTTATTCTTTCCTGGATACAGAAGGACAGGTTATGCTGTATCGAGAATGATTTCGAAGACTGTCATTAGAGCTAGTGGTACACCATTGACCGCACTGATAAACTTGGTTGTGAAAAGGCATCTTGATTCTTGTAAACAACTGTCCGCAAACATTCTATCCGATGATGAGCCTACTATTCTTCTTGTCTTTCCTTAAAGAAGAAATAAAACAAATACATTAGGCTTTATATATGCATTGTTTATTCACATGAGTAACTTCCAGTATGTTCCTGGTACTTCGGCTAACAGAGATTCATGTATTAGACTAGTCATGAGATTCCTCTTCAACTTTGGATTAGCAAAAGACGAAATCAGTGATCCATATACTTCCTAGTGAGCAGCAAGCTAACTTATCCAATTACATGTATGGATTTCAAGGTCAAAGCATATGATGATAATATGCAAATATAGAGTGTACTTTAATGGACTGACAGTTTTAGGCTATAGCCGTTAACACTGAGTTACTCGAACAACCACTTACTTATTTCAAGACATGGTTATATAGACTGCGCGGTAACTAGATAGCATACAATGACACATTTGGACCCAAGTACTGACCGAATTCATTTGATCAGTTTACAATATGGTCATTGTTATGAACTGTTCTAATTATAGATAAATTCTAGACGCACGATCGATTCGATCAAATAACAGAGTCACGACTTCCTACACAACTCCAATTTACTTAACACCAAGAAGCAGTATTCATCATTTTAATGTACAATTATAGTGACCTTGTGGCTAATCAATGAAATAACTCATTGAAGGGTATGGGAAAGGCAGTAAGCAAATAGTTTAATTTTAGAGCTGCAAAAATAAGCTAGGAAAAATGAGAAGAGATAAATCAAAGATGAACTTCCCAAAAACATTTGAAATTCGAGTTACTTCATATAGATCAGACATTCCTAACAACCATCACGATAGGAGGCGATGATATGCCAGTTCATACTTACAGACAATATATTAGCTGAATATACTTCCTCTGTTTGTTTTGATGCATGTGGAGAATCAAGTTTTATCAGTATTTCAACTTGGTATTCATCATAGACTGACATCAGTTGGAGAACCATTAGAAACCTGGGAGCACCTGTTTCTCTCTAGTATGGGACTGCTCAACGGTGCTCATCCATGAGCCCGTTAGGAGTTGAACTCATGGCCTTCGGCTTCCAATGAGCTACTTGGTTAGAACCCAACAGTTCACATTTTCTCACTTTAGTTAGTTCGTGATATAGCGCGACATACATTTAATGTCGTCGTTGAGTAACTGTCCTCATGTACGACTTGGTTCACCTTACAAGTCACGATTTCTCATTAGAACTTCCGGAAATCTCATCTTGAATCAATGCCATAGAGATGCCTCTGTCATTGGCCCAGTCATCGTTTTCAGCTTTTTATAACTGTTTAACAGTTTAAGATGCTGTCACTTGTTCTATTTACTAAGAGTCTTGTGACTGGCTGTTTCTGATCATTTATGTTCAATCCAAACGCACATAGAAACAGAATGTTTTGTTTTTTAAAGTATAAATCTGGTTTTCTGATTCCCTTGGTTTAGCTGGTAATTAACTTTTGCTAGTTAATTGTCCCTCTAAATCAAGTGAACTTGCAACTCAAGAAATTTCACAGTTGGAGGTTTGTATTTACGACGTCAGCAGTAGAATAAACCCGAGTGTGATTAGTTTTTACAAAAAGACGTCAAATAGATTAATTCCACTGGTTAAAAATTATTTCTTTTCAACCTTTTTTATTTTTTAATCATTCCAGCACATTCGATCAGAAAAACAATTATCGCCTTAATAAATCGGTACCAATCAAAGCTGGAGTAGTTGTACGCATAAGTGATGAGAAAATCAAAGAAACTTATTTGCCGAAAAAGTAAGCATTTCAACGTCATGTAACCAAAAGATAAAAGGCTTTTAAACATGGCTTTTATAAAGTTGTACACCATGAAGTATGCAGCACAGTTTTCAGGATGGTTTCATGCAGTAATTTTAGCCAGTTAGAGTTCTCCAGTATCAAAAAGGTGGGGCAGCTGGTTATTCACCTACATTCATTACGTAATAACCTCTTGGATTATGTAACAGGAATGTAAAAAATGAATATACAAGAAAGATTTTGTAAAGGTGTGGCTTATCGATCTAGGCACTTGATTTTCTCCCTATGGGTCATGGGTTCGAACCCCACTTCACTTGACAAGACCAAGACAGCCAGTTGTTGTTGTCTGCTGAATGTCTACAGCACGAGAGAGCATCCGGCGGCAAAGTGACTTTCATTTCAAACTAAAAATTGGTCCAGGTAAGTGGCGAGTTATATATAGATGATTGATGCATTGCAAATATTTAGTTTATTGTGCAAGAGAACTTCAAATGAAGCCAATTTTTACCAAAAAGCTTAACATCCTTGAAATGGCTTCTTCCTATGACTTGTATGTAACAATATGCATGAAAAGTAGTCGAGAAACTGGTTCAAACCGAAATTAATTTCTTTGAAAGTATATATGAAGAAGTACTTCCCTCAATGAGTATTAAACTTTGCTATTCAGTGTAATTTCCAGTTCGTCTATGGTTCCAACCTTCTCCATGATTGGTGGCTTTAAGGTCACGAAACAGATAAACCTGATCGGTTATTTCAGTTGTTAGAATGGCCTGCACTTCTTTAAACCGAAAATGAAAATCAATGAACAAAGTAAAGCTTCTAAGTAATATATTCATTAACGATACATTTAGCGAGCAAGTTAACACTTTTTAAATGCTTTTCAAAGTAATTTGACCAAACTGCATAAAGTGTAGTTTCTTCCTTTTTCGATAAGATATCGTAGTCGGTTCTACTTACTATCATAGGTCCAACTAAATGTTGGTAACGGTGAATGCACTTTATCACCCAGTTAACCAATCATGTTATTGTAAATGATGGATCAGGGTTAAAGTGTGCGATACAATTACCTAGATCCTCATAGGACACCTAAATCCCTGAAGCCTTTCACAACCGATATTGCTACTTCATTGTTTCCGGAAAAAGAATGTGTGCCTACGTGTAAATATCACATTGTTTGAAGAGGCGAAAATCGACAGGATATAACCTTGAAAACCGTTGCACTTTGTACATATTTCGATGGTGAAGTAGACCTTTTGTTATCTTATCGCCTTTTCTTTACTCGGATTATTATCCGAGTGTCTACCAACATATATCCAACTAAGTTGTATCAATAAGCATGTTACAGGCTAACGAGTAACATAAAGATCCCTCATTCCTTGTAGAAACTAAGAAGTTTCTGGGTGACTTAATCAGTATGTGGTAGCTTCCCTCACAGACCGATATCAATTGGTGAGTCATTGAAAATCTAGAAGTAGTAAGCAACCATTTCATCCTGGTTTCAAACTTCTCTGAAGTTTACAGGCTCGTGCATAGGTGAGAAAGGCAATAAATCAGTAAATCTCTGCAAATTCTATTTGTTTCACCTTCATTTTCTATATGAAAAAACTGTGCACCTCAAATGGTCTGACTGGCTGTTACTAGAGATATCAATCTTAGCCTAATAATCGCTCGGAGAAATAAGAAATTTTAGAAGTGAGGCTGTTGCTTAAAAAGAAACAACTTTTCTTCCAGTTTACTTCTTGAATTCGGGTTCTGTATAATTGAAATTAAAATGTATCTTGAAGGGAATTACAATTATGCTTATAGGTTTCTGTTAGTGGGTGTCACCTGTAAAAAAGCGACAACCTACGGTTAACTATTTATTCCTGTATAAGATAACCTAATAGCCAGTGTTATGCTGGCTAGAATGAGTAATCTGAGTATAATTTGATCATATTTGTTTCTTATGCTGAACAAATTTATGATACCAGGCTAGTATAAGCATCTTTTCATCATTTAGATAAGTGTTTGATACTAGTGCTAAGCCGATTCGTCAATTTAATTCGAGTTAGATTTGAACATGATTAGTTGTCACTAGAACTTAGTTGAACCTTATTACAGAAATGTAGGGAAGTGGAAATTAGGCATGAAACTAGCCTGTTTTCATTATTGATGATGATTTCCGTCCATAAGCGAAGCATATCTCCTATTTGGAGGTTATTTGGGATTCAGCAGATGTTCAAAACTTTGTCGTTCATCACTGTAAGCATGATAATAAATGCATCTTACTGAGAACCCTTCACAATGTGGTAACCTCATCCGAAAGCGTAGAATTTCCGGCACTTGTAAGCGACTCTTAATTACTTGAGTATGAAGTTCGTATAACATCTCAGATTCTTATTGTTCTGAAGTGCAAGTAAACTACTTTTGGAGAGGGGCTGCAAAAGCGTGTAAATAAAAGGCGGAGATGTTATGATACTTGTAATTCCTCGTCACTAAGCAATGGTGAGTCGCTCAACCTCTGTTGGCAGATGGGTTCGTATGCGGATGCCTCGATACTGCCGAATATCCATGATGTTATACTGATCTTAGTGACTAGAAGAGAAAAATTCAGGAAGCATGTTTCGCCTTGTTCGGGGCTCATCAGTTGGATGTGCCTGCACCACAGTGAGTGGTGTTGTCCCCACAGGCCTAGTGGATAACGCTCTGGCATTTGAAGTGATGGGAACTGGGTTCAAGCCTCAGTGTGAACAACATCACTCGTCAATGGGGGGCAGAGACATCGAGCTTACGAGTCCCGAACAGGACGAAACGTGCGTTCCGGATTCCTTTGCTTGTCACCAGGATTAAAAGATGAAGATACTTATGGATAGTACAACCACAAATTTTAAAGCATAAAGAAATGAAACTGATTTTCTGCTTGCTACATCAACAATTGCAACGACAATGTCAAGTAAATCAATGCACATTAGATAAAACATGTGAAAAGAGTTCACATCTAAGATCAGTTATAACAAATTGGTAATAAAAATAAAAGTTTTGACTGCAATAAATGAGAGTATTGTATCCAGTTGCATGGGTTAAGAAATACTTCCTCTCATCATGGATATTGTCTTCTGTAACAACTGCAAAATGAAAACATTCTGTGAAAGCTGAAAAAGAAAACAATTTCCTTCACCAATCTATTATAAATTTGTCTTGTGGTAATTTTTTGAGTCACTTGGCTTTCTTATCCACTCCAAGTAATTGCTATGTCACGCATGCTCAATTTATCCACGTGACCTGGTCTTCCTTTCCAGCTTTACTGAAACAGAGAAAAGAAAGTCTAACCGTATACTCTTTGTGATTACTGGCGATCTGAGTCATGTTTCGATATAACTCAAGTACACAACCACCATGCGTCACAATGATCGACTGCACTTAACGTGCAATTATTTCAGTACCATAAATCTTCCTGAAATAAATGAGGAGTTAATTGAAGGCCTTTGACCCAAGCTATAAAATAATACTATAAAACAAGCCACTAATAAAACTCCTGTACGAATAAATCATATAACCTGATGAGTTATTCTTTTCTGAGATCCACTATTTCCTTTTCTCAGTGGATGGATCTTCAAACCATTTATGAATATTGTCGAAAAATTTTTTAAAGTATTGTATGCTGTTTTATACTTGATCTTAATTAACCATAACTAGTTATGAAGTGAGCTTACTGAAGATGAGCTTACTAGACAAAAATGCGCCATAAACATACGGTTATCACGCATATAAAAAAACTTAAGTTTGAAGAATGAATAGGTTACTTTGATTCGAGAAGAGGGGATATGCTGGACCGGGGAAAAGAACTTAGAAGATTCGGATTTCGCCGATGACTTGTGTCTAATGTCGCACAAACTTGATGATCTACAGACGAAAACCAACAAGTTGACAGAGGAGGTAGAGCAGCGAAGACAGGACTTCAAGTGAACGTAGAGAAGACAGAGGTGATGAAGATACCCGACCAACAACAATGTCAACGTCAAGCGCCGATCACCGTGAATAGGAGAAACCCAAAAAGAAGTAGTCTCTTTCACCTACACCTATCTAGGCAGCATCGTTTCAATCACAGGCGGCACAGATGAGGACGTCAAAGCCAGCCAGCATAGGAAAAGCAAGATAGGCGTTCATTAACCTGAAACCAGTGTGGAGATCTACTGCACTGCACTCAGTATAAAGAACAAGATCCCGATTTTCAACACTAAGTCAGTCAAGTCAGTGCTTGTATGTGATGGTTGGGAGACTTGGCGTGTTACGAAAAGCATTTGCAACAAACTACAGATATTCATCAACAACTGCCTACACTGGCTCGTTACTCCAGCTCAGATGGCGAGAATAGTAAGAATAAGCAACAAAGAACTCTGGCTGGTTGGCCACGAACTAACCAAGAACCTATCGCTCAACAAATATGCAGAAGGAAGTGGAGATGGATTGGGCATGCACTGAGAAGACCATTCGGGGACATCACGTGCCAGTTCAGGCCCTCGAGTGGAACCCAGATGGGAAACGACAAGTTGGTCGTCCGAGGGTGACATGGAGGAGATGGTGTGAGGAAGAGATGAGAGCTTGTGGGTAGTCGTGGAGCCAGGTGGAAAAGACTGTAGAGAACAGAGTGGAATGTAGGCGTGCTACTGAATCTCTATGTTCCACTAGGATCCCAAGGGACAAATAATAACAATAATTCAAAATTGAAGCTCTAAAATCCTTAATCTTAGTGACGGATGGCTTCAAATTTGATTTTTATTGTAGCCACTTCTTGTCAGTTCATTTCAGTCTCTTAAAACATGCCAAAAAGGGGAATTTATCTCTCTGACATTGAATGTTGGGTTTTTTTAATATCTTCATCTATCCATTTCTTGTATAATTTCTCCTGGTAGATTTTATCTTCCTCATGGGCTGACCATAGATTCTGATGGAAACTTTTGGATTACAGATGTAGCTCTCCATCAAGTGAGTTTGTATTAGAAAATGTCTTAAAAATGATTTCTTTTGATGAAAGTTCTCATCGGGAACTAATATTATCTTGAAGTATGCATTAAAGATCTTTAATAGTAAGAGAAGTATCTAAAACCAGGTAACGCTGTTTTTGCCCAATTCTAGAATCTTCGGTAGTTTATCGACAAGAACTCATGTACCAAGGTATCCAGAACCATTCAGTCCCACAAAAGGCGTGACTATTCAGCGAGTAGATAAGAATCTAGTAGTTCCCAGTTTCAGACAAACTGCTCTCTCCGCCGCTCACATACATGAAAACACATTCCAGTGCTCATGAGTGACTTGTTTCAATGTGAATTCCTTAAAGTTCTTGTAAAAAACTGTGATCTAGGGAGCAAGGATTGATAATTATTGATAGCACTGGATGATTGTCGCACTCCAGTCAGAACTTGATGGAATTCAGAAAACTGGGACCATAGGATTTCAAATATAAGTGGCTGAATGGTTACAAATGGGTTACAAACGGAAAGCCAGTTTCCTGAAGCTGGCAGATACACCTTGATGATGTGTTCCAAGAAGTAACAAACCTACATCGAGAATAATTTCCTATCAGTTGACTTCTGACATGCAACTATCCAATCTTTGTGCTTGCGTAATCTTGCAACAGTTAAGCGCATAATTGAGAACTCCTGCAGTCAGAAGTGTAAGATTTAAGGTCAAGAAATATTCCATGAGATATTAACTATTTATCTAAAGTTGATTGGCAAACGATGGAATTTAGATAAAGAATAAAAGCTTAGACACTGAGAATTCACCATGTAGCCAAGTCTGAATCACTAAGAGGAATGCTGTGGCTGAATCATGCCAGCGCTACGACAACTACTAACTAGGGATAATGAATACTGTTTACAAGCGTGTATGTTATGTCTTTTGTTGTGCAAAGTGAATATCAGATGTGTCCGATCACACTTTAATACAAACACGGTCAGGTAACAAACTGAAACAATAATTTCCTCCTCAAAATTCGACATAGCAAAATCAATAAAATGTATGTCTCTGCTATGCTTACTAATTACTTAAAGACAGGTAGATAAATCAATTTAGAGTCTAGCACACAAATGAATCTATCTAAGTTACCACACTTGAAAGCATCATGCAAAGAAGAGACGTTTTGAAGAGGAGTTATCATAAGGTAGATAAAAGCGCATGTGAGTTGAGAGTATCAGTTCATGAATATTGATGAGAATGTTCCAGATCTTGTAGGTGACAAATAGTGACTACAACCGTCTAAACAATTTTCAACCATGCCATCAAAATTCTTCAACTATTGATTCTTATCATCTTGAGTACCTTATTTAGGTACCCCACACCTTCTTACATGCTTTAGGCCAACAGTCATAGATCTCATCGACTGGTGTCATATCTTGGTCTGGCCATTTTAGATGGCTAACATTGAATATGGAGGTAGATGGTAGCTGAGCATACACCACACATATTCCAAACATCTTAATCAGCGAAAGTTTGCAATCTCATCGACTAACCAGCATTCTGTTTTTACTACTCTACGCTTAGCCTAAATTAGTGATTTCGTTACACACTAGCCATATAAACACCTATATGACTGAATACCTGAAGTTACATGTCGCTTACTTTCAAGTAGAATGTCTCGTTACCGCAGAAGTGGACATGAGTAAACTGCACAGATTTAACTTGATATTCAGAAACTAGCCAACTGATGTTTCGTTTCTGGCAAGAACTAAACACCGGAGACCTAAAAGCTACTGAATAGGTAAACAGTACAAACCAATGTAAACTGTCGAATGTCGGATCAACTGACAAATTCTGGAAATTATCTACCGAGTTAAGTGACATGACGTAACAGTCCTAGTAGAAATGTTTCCGACTTCAGAATTGAATGATCTAGGTGGAAATCTCCGAGAAAAATTGTGTTGCTTGCTCATCGACAAGTAAGAAACAATAGTGAAATGAAGTCTCTCTTTGATTGAGCCTCAGAGATTAGTGCCGAAAGGACACAGATACAGACACACAAACATACACAAGTAACCAGTCCATCGAAAGTGGGTGTGTGTGTGTGTGTCTCACTGACTGACAGACTGAGTTCTCATTGCTGGAAAAACATTAGAGCCCATATGCTAATAGAGATCGATCACCTGGTTAAATTATAACACTATAGTAACAGATGATAGTCACCTGTTATTCATTTTCTTGTCACATGTTTTCTTTAACAGGTCTTTAAATTTTCTCCGTATCTGTCAGGTGAACCGTTATTAGTACTTGGCGAACGTTTCAAACCTGGTTCCGATGACCGTCACTTTTGTAAACCGACTGATGTTGTTGTTTCTGCAAATGGACAAATTTTTGTCTCTGATGGGTAAATGTATAAAATGGTTTGTTTTTTCAAATAAAATCACACATTCTACTTTTGACTGATCAGTAGCATCAAAAAGTGCCAAGTTTTATTCAAATGTCAGTAAAATTACTTGTAATTTACTGAGTCATGAATCAACAGGTTAATGGATATAGTTTCAATGTTTGAGATGATTGGCGCCGGGTCCGAGTATCAGTGGGAACGACATCGTACATTGGGATGCAGGTATATCCATCTGACAAATTCTGAACAGGACTACATGCACCTCCAGCATTCCACTGCTAATCAGTGTTCATCATAGGTGCCAAGCTTAAATTACCGGCATAATCAAGGCATCTTTACAGGAGTCCATATACTAATAGTTGCTGGTCGATTCAGTCCAGTCAGTGATGGGTAGGTACAAGCCGAAACATAAATTTATAGCTCCCTTCTTTTACGCAACTGTTTCTTATGTATTCATTTTATTCCATTCCGTGATCCTTCAACACAGTTATCATGAAGTCTACATAACAGGAAGGGTTGAAAAATCCAGGCTATCTGTTGGAATTTTAAATGGTCAGCAAATTACACCGATTAGTCTCTGTAGGGCAACCAACTTCATGTTGTACTTGATGACAAAAATCTATCATTTTGCAATATGGCTACCAAGCTAAAAGGCTCGGCATCGCAGTGCACATCTGTAGGTGTTAGTTGGTTGGAGCCAATCGGCAGGAAATCCTGGACCTAGATTTTTCAGTTGTTAGCACTCTTCAGCAAGGCATATTTCCAACCTCAAAAAGAACTGATATCCCGCCTGAGACTCGAACCTACATCACTCAGTATTGCAGTCGATGTTACGAACGAGACATCAGGGCTGCGAATGAAGCTCCTTAGGACAGGGATATATATAATGGTTGGTCACAGAAGGGTAAAAAAAATCCAGCGAAATATCGATCTCATCCTCCTTCTCCTTGCCAAGTCGTACACAGCCAGAAATGGTCGTGGCACTTCGTAATTCACATTTATCGTTCCTGCAATTGAATTATAAAACCCTGCACATAAGAAATTCATTATGCAGCGAATGTGAAAAAAAAACAATTTGATAGACATATTTACTGCAGTAGATTACTATAATTATTTGTCCTTTGTAATCCTAGTGGAACATAAAGATTCAGTAGCACGCCTACATTCCACTCTGTTCTCTACAGTCTTTTCCACCTGGCTCCACGACTACCCACAAGCTCTCATCTCTTCCTCACACCATCTCCTCCATGTCACCCTCGGACGACCAACTTGTCGTTTCCCATCTGGGTTCCACTCGAGGGCCTGAACTGGCACGTGATGTCCCCGAATGGTCTTCTCAGTGCATGCCCAATCCATCTCCACTTCCTTCTGCATATTTGTTGAGCGATAGGTTCTTGGTTAGTTCGTGGCCAACCAGCCAGAGTTCTTTGTTGCTTATTCTTACTATTCTCGCCATCTGAGCTGGAGTAACGAGCCAGTGTAGGCAGTTGTTGATGAATATCTGTAGTTTGTTGCAAATGCTTTTCGTAACACGCCAAGTCTCCCAACCATCACATACAAGCACTGACTTGACTGACTTAGTGTTGAAAATCGGGATCTTGTTCTTTATACTGAGTGCAGTGCAGTAGATCTCCACACTGGTTTCAGGTTAATGAACGCCTATCTTGCTTTTCCTATGCTGGCTGGCTTTGACGTCCTCATCTGTGCCGCCTGTGATTGAAACGATGCTGCCTAGATAGGTGTAGGTGAAAGAGACTACTTCTTTTGGGTTTCTCCTATTCACGGTGATCGGCGCTTGACGTTGACATTGTTGTTGGTCGGGTATCTTCATCATCTCTGTCTTCTCTACGTTCACTTGAAGTCCTGTCTTCGCTGCTCTACCTCCTCTGTCAACTTGTTGTTTTTGGCCTGTAGATCTTCGAGTTTGTGCCACAAGACATTAGACATAAATCATCATCGTTGGCGAAATCCAAATCTCCTAGACTCTTTTCATCGGTCAGACAGCGTATGCCCATATTCTCACAGCTCCTCACAGTTTGTTGCATGATCCAGTCCAGTCGAGTCGACCACAATCAGGAAGATCATTGGTGATAGTATGCGGCAACCTTTTCCTACTCCTGTCTTCACTTCAAAGGCGTCACTGAGCTGTCCATTGTGAATCAGATAGTACTCTGTTTATTTGATATAATGTTGTCAGGTCTCTGTCCCTCTTACCTGCAGCCTGTTCTCCTTCGCTCACCAATGTGTCGTAGAAGTGTCTCTTGTCTTTCCGCACACTCTTCTTCACTTCTTTGTCCAGTGTTTTATACGTTGTACTCAGTTCCTCTCTTCGTTTTTCCTCCCTGCACTCCACTGTACTGCACTGGTTCATCTTCTGCTTCACCATCCTCCTCTCCTCTATCAGCTTCCATATGTCCGTCGAGATCCATTCCTTGTCTTGCTTCTTCTTCTTCTTCTTCCTTCCTAATACAGTCATGCAGGCATCTTTCCACGTCTCTTTCAAAGAATTCCAGTGTTCTTCCACACAGGTTTCCACAGCGATGTTGCCTAATGTCTCCCATTCTTTCCTGATGACTGATGTGAAGATGTGGTTTGTAGTCTCGTCCTTCAGTTACTTTTCTGGGTGTTCAACTTGAACTCTGGTCTATCATCAGCTTCTTTGGAGGCTTTCAACTTGATTTTGAGGGTTCCTTGCACTAGACAGTGAATGGTCTGAACCTACATCTGCTCCCCTTCTTTATCTGATCTTGTGTCCACTAGGCTGGCTGCGTCTCCACTTTCTTCATATTGAGATGAAGTCAATCTGATTTTTAGTGTAGTGTAGTGTGTCCATCTGGTGAAATCAAATACATGTCGTTTTGTGAATATCCTTGTATTTGTACACACTGCCTCCAATCACCAAATCGTTGAATGCTCAGAAGTCTGCAAACAGTTCTCCAGTTCTCTCGTTCATTTCACAAACGAGTGCCTCTCGACCCATGATCACTTCTCTTCCTGTGTTGTCCGCTCCCAGTTTGGCATTCATGTCACCCCACCCATTAGAATTTCGATGTCGCCAACTCGGATAGGGTCTTGTCCAGTAGTGATTGCAGTTGTCTGTAGAATTCCTCCTTCTTCTTTTGATCTGCATTATTTGTAGGTGCGCAGCCCAGTATATTGTATGACTGTGATTTTCCTTCCTTTTGATTTGAATCTTGTTGTCATGATCCTGCAGGAGGAGATTGGTTCCCACTGCATGACAGTCCTCGATGCTCTTCGAGGGGACATCATGATAGCCACTCCAAAACTCGGTGTGCTCGTGGTTGTCGTCTGGGTGACAATATCGGAGTAGGTTATTGACTCTCCAGTTGACAGTTTGGAGAGTCCACTTCCATTCCATCTGCTTTCGCAGATTCCTAGCACTTCTATGCCTTATTTTCTCATATCTTTTGCAATCTGGGTAGCCTTGTTAGCCAGCTTCAAACATTGTGCAGACATTCCATGTCCTCATTCTTCCTTTCACTTTCATCGAGAGAAGCAGAGACACATCGGCCAATTGGCTTCCCGAAGGCTTTCACCAACTGGTGTGATTTCGTCTCTCCGAATCCAGCGAGGAATAAGTTTAATTTAATTTTTTATATTTTCTTTGTGCTTTAAAGTTTCTTTAGCGATTGAATTGGTTTTATGGGTTAGGGTTGCTTGCCCTATGCCCAACCTTCCCTTTTTATCTGGGTTTAGGACAGGCTGATAACTAGTGAACTAGTTAACCATACGAGGTTTCTGTCTCATATGATGTACGCATCTGAAATCCAGTTAGTAATCTAAAATGTTACACTTTCCTTTGCCTGAGTTCCTTTCCAATAACTAGATAGGCTGGATTGTAGGTTTCTTCCACAACTATTGGTGATCAACAACAGGAAGTCATATATATATATATATATATATATATATATATATATATATATATATATATATATATATATATATATATATATATATTGGTAAACTGTAAATGACACGAAGAGAGGAATGAAAGCTGTACGATACTCATGGATTATCATTTCAGTACGTATAGTTTGAATTACTATCGATGCGCCAAGTTTTCAGTTGGGGTTTTTCGTTTGGTTGTGAGTGCAGTAAACCACTAGTTCAGTGGTTCGAATCCATCTTATAATAAGTTGGCAAATTTCAACCAACTTTTATGAATCTGTGTGAATTTTTTCATGGTTTCATGTGAGTGCGAAATGTGGACTATGGACTGCAGTAGTGCTATGGAGTGAATCTTTTAGTCTCTTCAAGGAAGCTTGAAATTTCTTGAAGGCTTTCACAACCAATCCCAGCATGTCGAATATTCGCGAAAACCATGTGCTTAAACGTGATAAACTCATACTGGCCAAATATCTTTCTCGAAGAATGCAGAAACTGTCAAGGCGGTTGGAAGCATATATTTATCTTTGCATTTCGTAGATGTTTCATTTTACTGTAATGTGGCAGGTTTCTGCCTTCTAGGAACCGAGCAACGCTCAAAAGTGAAGCCTAACGTTATAGTTCCGGAGCTAACACATATATAGGATATATCAGATGTAATGTAATTCCATATTATATTTCTTTATTTAATTTAGTACACAATGATGCAGTATTATTTGCTGAATAGCGTATTCAGCACAAATTATCTCTCCTAATCATTTCAAAGTAATCACAGAACTTCCGATATCCCCTTTTTTAGTCCTATTCTCTCATTATACTCGTATTCAGTGGCACTAAAGTTTTCGACATCTCCGCTACAGGTGTTGTGTCACTTCCATTACATGTGCTGGATAGTTATTTGACGAAGGAATATTCAGTAATCTATCGCTCTCCCCACCGACATATACATAAACTGGAATCAGGTTACGAAACTTCATCCCAGTATAGTTACGAGGATCGATTATCGAATCTTCATTAACCAACTCCATACCTAAAACATTTAATAGGGATGACGCAACACCTGGATTGGAAATATGGAATACCTTACTACCACTGGAAACAAGGAATACGAGATGATAAGATTATAAAAACTAGATGCTGAATATGATATGATCACTTTGTTATGGAAATGAGCAATAAATTATGCTCACAACGTCATGTAGTAAATAACACTATCACGCTGTGTGTGATGTTAAATAAAATAATAATATAATACAGTTTCCCTTAGAATTGGTTTAGTTAGTAAGGTTTTAGGTGGGTTGTTTGCATGTATTCAATCATTCATAGTATGCTGTACAATCAAGCTGTATATTCTATAAAAAACTGAGTTTTTCAAAAGAGAACATCTGTCGTACGTAATTAATACTGCTTAATCAAAACTAATAAAAGATAATTCAGTAAAAAAATTTTCAATTTGATAAACCATTTTCAAAAGCCGTATATCGTATTCATAGTCACAACAAAAAATATCTACCTATCAATATCTAATGGGTCAATACAAAGTCATGAAGAACGGTCAATAAAGTCACAAGGTTATAACGAGGTCATCAAACCTGCTTATACGATTATAACACATGAACACAAAAATAAATGATCTGTCTTAGGGAGAATTCTACCATGGCAAAACTAGAGGTTTAATATCTCTTTTCTGAACACAAAGAGCAGGCTTGTAGTACTTGATTGCCAGAGCTTCTGCTGCGCTGAGGTGGTGAATATGCACTTACTTCTAAATGTTTGCCTTCACTTCATAAATGAATTTTAAAGAAGACTCTTGTAGACCACAATGACCAGCTGTAACCAGATGCTCAAGAATCGGATAGTTGACGGCTTTACTATTATATTGACAATTCTAGGTTTGTTTCCTGTAAAGCAATCTTCTTTGGGAACAATCATCTTTTCTTTTCAATTGAAAGCCCAGGAAGTGCAACTCTGAATTAACTTTAGTTTCCACAGTAAATTTAATCAACGTGAAACATCCATTGAACTGCCTTCCAAATCAAGTTGAAAGCCTCCAAAGAAGCTGATGATAGACCAGAGTTCAAGTTGAACACCCAGAAAAGTAACTGAAGGACGAGACTACAAACCACATCTTCACATCAGTCATCAGGAAAGAATGGGAGACATTAGGCAACATCGCTGTGGAAACCTGTGTGGAAGAACACTGGAATTCTTTGAAAGAGACGTGGAAAGATGTCTGCATGACTGTATTAGGAAGGAAGAAGAAGAAGAAGAAGCAAGACAAGGAATGGATCTCGACGGACATATGGAAGCTGATAGAGGAGAGGAGGATGGTGAAGCAGAAGATGAACCAGTGCAGTACAGTGGAGTGCAGGGAGGAACAACGAAGAGAGGAACTGAGTACAACGTATAAAACACTGGACAAAGAAGTGAAGAAGAGTGTGCGGAAAGACAAGAGACACTTCTACGACACATTGGTGAGCGAAGGAGAACAGGCTGCAGGTAAGAGGGACAGAGACCTGACAACATTTTATCAAATAACCAGGTTGATATCTGGGAGAGATCAACACAGATTAAACCAATGAAAGATAATGAAGGAAATCTAGTTAGCAAAGAAGGGAAATAAAGGAAACGACTGACTGACCACTTCAGAAAAACTCTTGAGTCGACCACTACTTGTAACTGGTAAAGAAATACCACCTGCAGCCACAGAACTACAAGTGAACACAGGCCCTCCGAGAAAAACAGATGTCCTGAGTGCCATACAACTGCTTAAATCTGGCTAAGCAGCAGGACGAGATGGAGCTCCTCCAGAATTACTGAAAACAGACGCAGAGACAACAGCGGATATGCTCACACCACTATTGCAGAAGGTATGGAAGGAAGGAAGGAACGAACGAACGAAAGGTACCTGCTGATTGTACGAAAGGCTACCTTATCAAGCTTCCAAAGAAGGTTTGCGGAGACCAGAGTGGGATGTGGACATGCTACTTAATCTCTTTGTTCTAGTAGGATCTTAATGGACAATTTTATAAAGTAAAGAATATTGATTGAACTTTGCTGGCCTTTCTTCAAGGTCACTATCTTCCTCACTAATGATGAAGTTTCCATGTATGTATCTTCGCCGATGGAACTGGTTGATCATCGGACCCAGTTTACTGTTCTCCGGATTGACCATTAAGCAATCTGCTTGCATAGGACCCACTGGTTAGCCCGCGGCCACCTCATCTCTTTGTCTATAAAGTTCATCACTGAATCTGAATTGTGTAATAAAGGTATATTGTAGGACCCGTTCCTTCAAATAGCATTCAGGAACCCCAATTTTAAGCTTGTTGATCTCAATATGATCACACAGAAAACAGATTTCAAGTTGTTATTCATCGTAGACTGACATCAGTTGGAGGAACAAAAGAAAACTGGGAGCACTGGACAGCTGTTTCGTCCTAGCATGGGACTCCTCAGCATTGCGCACCCACGAACCCACCCCGACAGGGATCGAACCCGCTCATTGCTCATTGGTGACTAGCTTCGAGAAGTATTCCCGAAGTTCCAATGACAAGTCGTGACCGGTGGAGTCAAAGCCTGATGGCCTTGAGGACAAATACTCAACGATGACATTGGGTGGCGGTTTGTGCTATATCGTGAGCTAACAGAAGTTGGAAATATGGAGCATTGGATTGTGACCCAGTGGCTCAATGGTAACGCGCTGGTCGCGGAACCTGAAGGTGGCGGGTTCGATCCCTGCTGGTGGGGTCGTGGGTGCGCACTGCTGAGGAGTCCCATGCTAGGACGGAACAGCTGTCCAGTGCTCCCAGGTTTCCTTTGTTCCTCCAACTGATGTCAGTCTTCGATGAATAACAACTTGAAATATTTCCAAATCTCCACAACTCCCTCAGAAAGCAGATTGTTTCCGTCAAAGGGACATTTGTGAAAAGCAATATGACGTCGAATGATAACATACGCTTACCACATACTTTGGCATCTCTTATACCGTTCACGAGGTCGGAGTCAGGAGTACTATAGTTAGTGGTTTAATTTTTCACTGACTGAAGGACTGCCATAAACCACTTAGCAATCCCTTGATATGGTGATTTTTCATATCGTTACCCACTCACCAATGATGGATGAAAAATGATTCATCGAAAAGAGAATTTTCTCTGCTGAATTGTCTTTTATTTATTTCCATTAATATTGCTTACATTATCTTACATCTCACTGTAGCAGTGATGAAAATTGTTTGCGACTATAGACTAGAATAGCTAAAAGAAACTGCTTCCTGAGTTACTACTTTAAGTTCATAAATAAACCATTGCACCTAAATCCAACTTGAACGATCAGACTGTGAATGCACGTGTATTACTTGCTTTTGATTGGTAATTATTTTATCATCATACATGTGAAACAAGGTCAACTATAGTAACTGGATGGTCTCCTTGTTCATGTGATATATTATGAGGTCAGTCCAGTCTGTTTGGTTAGGTTTTATTGATCCTAGGTGGATACGAAGCAGGTTGGGTAATATCAGATGAGGCTACAACTAATTCAGCTTACAACCGATGTAAATATTTTTATGATATTGCTTGTATAAATATTTATTTTAGCTCAGAATACATTGTAAACGTCTATGACCACCATCTATATGTTATATCTCTACTTTAACCATAAATACATTTGATGCAGTAGCAGAAATCTAGATTACTCAAAAAATAAAAAAGATATTCATGAAACTGCCGCGACATAAGTGTCAACAAAGCCAGTGACAGTAGAAGTTTAGGTCTCTGATTGGTTATATCACATTTCCCTTCACCATTGTTTCACGTGTTACTGTGATGAAACTCAGTTCAAAAGATTAAGCATAGACTATAGAAATGATTCTCCTTTATTACATATTCGGACATAATTATCTTCTAGTGATAAAGTCTTTTTTACGAAGTTTTGAAAAAGCTGACGACATAAAGATATTTTCAGCCCAAAAGCTATGTTGAGTGATGTATCACTGTTAACCACAAAATAGGACTCTATTTCTAATTTTAAACTTTTCAATAGGACTTACTTTAGGTCCCCTCTGCAGTAAAGCCTAGGACAGACGGAAAAACAGACAAAATGAGAACGCAGAATCTAGCACATATGGGCATCACTTCAAGTCCATGCAAAAAAGAAGTGGACAGAAAAACTCATGTCAAAGATTACAAGGGTGTGGAAGCGTAGAAAGAATTTAAAAATCAATCTAAGTGAAAATGTTGAGGCTGTAGAAGTCATCTGTGCCATTGTCACCAAGAATCCCTAACCACTGTTTTCTAACGTCTCAAGCAGTCAAATAGCCAACATATCCCTCCATAACTCACACTAATAGTCAGCCACGTCTTTATCTGACCCCCCTTGAACCCTATTTTAACTAAATCAAACTTTTGCCAGCACTGCAGGTAGAGATAAGCCATGGCTCAGTATATGAAACACATGTCTAAATCACCTCAGTCGTTAGAGGTTCACAAAGTCATCGACTAACCTGCTTGCTTTACCTAGTAACATACGCCTGACCTAGAAATAGTTAACATGGTTGTTCCACCATATGCAGGAGTTTTACGACAAGAAATCAAAGAAATTCCAACACAGGATTGACTATACTTCCTAAACAAACTCTAAGTGCAGTGTTAACGATAGATAAACTAAGCTTAACTTGTTCCAAGTTGTAGGCAACGTTTTATTTATTTTTCACCTTCTTTTATCTTGTTATCGACTAAAAATAGATATTGCAATAATCGTATTATGAAATTTGATAGAAGTGGGAAATTTCTAAAATCATGGGGCTCTGAAACAGAAAGTGAGTTTTACTCTGATAAATGTTATCTGTGCTCTTCTGTTTTATTTGCATGTTATACTGGTGTTTTGATTCGATCAGTAAACTTCTTCTTGATACACCTGCTCATCATAGCTGATAGGCATGGTCTAATCACACAAGACAGATGTGACCATATAAGTCACTCGGATATCGATATCGGATTCGAAAATTTCTGTTCAGTTAGACAACAGACATGTCGCCATCCATCCATTCGGAATCAGAGTAGCATACAAACCAAAGAAATCACTACTCAGCATGTTGTGCAAACCAAAGGATTCATTGCCAGGAGAAGACAGGACAATCTATAATCTACAAAATCAATTGTAAAGATGGTTCACAGAATTTAGTTGGTCAGTCTAGCCGTCGGATTATTCAAAGGATTCATGAACATCAACCAGCAGTAAAATGATATGACGCCGCTTCTTTGGTTTCAATACATGCAAACAGTCACGATCATAAGTTCGACTGAGAGAACGTGAAAATCCTCCAAAAAGCAGGTTCCAAAGGTGAAAGAGGATTTCCAGGATTATAATATTCCAACTAGAAGTTAATCAACAGACATGTGGATATAAACCCAATCTACAATCTGCTTAGGAAGAAAACAGTTATTTATCAACCAAAGACAAATTCACCAAGTAAATCAATAATAATCAACAATATGGCGACAACAACAAACAGTACAATTTCACTCCAACAAAGGATATCTAATGATGACTGAAGGGGATTTAAGGTGAAAGAAGTCAAGGTGGGATCAAAAATTCCTTCCTCATCTTACAATCGGACAACAAGCGATGTCAATAAAAACCGTATCTAAACATTCGTATAATATTCAACTATGCTTCACTTCTTTGTGGAGTGCTGAAGATATCGATGGGTGTGATGATGAAACATTCATGACAGTATTAAATCTCAGAGAACAACAAACCATCATCATCATCCTAAGCGACAGATGTTTTCCATCATCTTAAATCATCTGAATATAAAGCCGTTCTGTGTGTTCGGAAACAAGAAAGAAGATAAATTAAATATAATGAACTAAAATTTGGTAGCTTTAACGATAGAAAAAAAACATGAATGAAAAAAATGAAACGGAAAAAACCTAAACCTTTGAGGAAACTGAAATAGTAACGGATGATTCTATGAAGTTCGTATAATTCGCTAAAGCCTACAGGTACTTACTGACTTATTTATGTAGACTATATGGGATGCCTAGAATACAAAAACCATGGATACTATTAGAAGACTGCTACTTATATGAAAAACTTATACCATGCCCTAGCCAAACCGCTATTCATTATTCTGCAGTCTTTACACAGACAGATAGTAGGACAGTAAAGATAACTATTGACTAGAAGTGGAGTCCATGAAGCGCATTTCTTCCTACTGGGGACTCATCAGCTCAGTGTACCGGTCTTTCAGTGAGTGATGTAATTTTCATCAGGACTCGAATCCAGGACCGACTTCTCTAAACGTCAAAGTTTTACTAACTAAGCCACTAAATCATGGCAGATAATGGGACATAATGTGAAGGACACACATAAATTTATCAACACAATCAAAGATGCTAACTCTGTGGACACAGCGATGATACTTCACGAAGTATGTAACATCTCTATTGGTCAATGTTCTTCTTGTAAAGACTATCAGTTACACTTGTCAATGGAGGAAATGAAAGTTGGCAAAAGTTGAGATTTCAGTAGATGTCCGCAAAGAATTACTTCTCAAATGTACCATGAATATTGGATTTAAATTTGTTAGTGAACTATACAAACAAGTAGATGGAGTACCAATAGGCTTGCCTTCTGCGTTCTATATTAGCGGACGTTTTTCTGACTAAACTAGCAAGTGATTCACTAGGTCAGTTTATCGAAGAAGATTAAAGATAATCAGCAGGTTTACCTTAGGATATTCAGTGATAGAGCTTACATGTAAGGTAGAGTCTGAAGGCAAAAGAACCTTTCTAGACCTTTTTTTTCTTGAGAAGAGCAGATGGATAGATGAATAGGGTTGTGTTCAAGAAAATTACATACATGAAACAGTGGACACAATTTCCCAGCTTCATTCTCTTTCATGACAAACAAAATTTGATAAATGCTTTGAAGTAAAGACTACCTTTTCAAAAGATACAAGTGACCAAGATATGATAAATGTATGCAAAACGCAAACTAGAAACGATTAACTTTATTACTTGATAAAGAAATATATTATTACAAGAGTAGATGGAGAAAACATTCCTACTACTTGCAAGTAATTAGTATATATGCAGGTACAATTTACAGGTGAGGTATCCAGATAGGTATTAATTCAAGAACCAGACAAGTTCATTCAACGAACTTTAATGTGCTATTTTCAACATAGCCATTCAGTACGCCGAGAGTGAAAGGCAAGCCAAGTTCTGGTGTGTTTTTCAGTTCAACTGCTCTTGTGTAGCCAGTTACTTCTGCTTTAGCTCTAGAAATGTAGTTTTTCTTACTCTTGAACACCTCAAGGAGTAGTGGTCGTTAATCTGTAGCTAGTTGGATAGTGCTCCGGTGTTTGAGGCTATGGTTATTGGGTCTCATTTTCAGTGGGAACACTATAACCAAATGAAAGGCAGGTATATCCAGCGGACGAGCAGCGAACTGAATGAAACATGAATATTGAATTCGACTGCTAGCCACTATGCATCATTGGTTTCAAATTTCCCCACAACGTTAGGCAGAAGTGTTATGAAAACCGTTAATGGCTGTATTTTAGCACACTTAGTTCGACGAATCATACAGTGGATATGATAAATCATTCTCGGACATTTACTAGGTTTGTATCAACTTGCCAAAAGATATGAGACTCCGAATCTTCCAGATTACACAAGTGGTAACAATTCGGATGAAACAGTCCGAGTTATGTGTTCAAAAAAAATTCCTTAACCTATTTCAGGGCTACCATCCTATCTCACGAAAACCCAACCTTCAACTTCTACATTCACATATTACCTCTCCCCAATAAGCTGAAGCAACTTTATCACATTTGCTTAAATGATATCTGGTATCTCTCAAATTATCCCTCTTTGTTTATGCAGTCCTCCTTTCATATACATTCAAGCCTTGCATTGTGTTTCTGCTAAGCAAACTCATTTCACCTTTACTTATGTTGACGTTTGTCACATATTATCTTGCACACATTTCCTTTCAACTGAAAATCATGAACACATGAAATTGAGCGCTGAACTTAACCGACATCTTTGAAGAAAATTCTACAATGTATCGATTCCCAACTATCCATTGCAGTAAAACCTCTCGTGTTCTTGGCGTACATTTGATTCATGCATCAAAAGAATATATATATATATATATATATATATATATATATATATATATATATATATATATATATATATATATATATATACCTGTACAAACTGTCAGGAAACTCAAAGAAAAAAATAATCTTTGTTTATTAGACGATATTTCGATTCACAAGAAAGCTATGCATTTGGCAACAAAAAACAATCTATTATTATATCATTAATTTTCCTTTGTGATCCTAGTGGAACATAGAGATTCAGTAGCACGCCTACATTCCACTCTGTTCTCTACAGTCTTTGCCACCTGGCTCCACGACACCCACAAGCTCTCATCTCTTCCTCACACCATCTCCTCCATGTCACCCTCGGACGACCAACTTGTCGTTTCCCATCTGGGTTCCACTCGAGGGCCTGAACTGGCACGTGATGTCCCCGAATGGTCTTCTCAGTGCATGCCCAATCCATCTCCACTTCCTTCTGCATATTTGTTGAGCGATAGGTTCTTGGTTAGTTCGTGGCCAACCAGCCAGAGTTCTTTGTTGCTTATTCTTACTATTCTCGCCATCTGAGCTGGAGTAACGAGCCAGTGTAGGCAGTTGTTGATGAATATCTGTAGTTTGTTGCAAATGCTTTTCGTAACACGCCAAGTCTCCCAACCATCACATACAAGCACTGACTTGACTGACTTAGTGTTGAAAATCGGGATCTTGTTCTTTATACTGAGTGCAGTGCAGTAGATCTCCACACTGGTTTCAGGTTAATGAACGTCTATCTTGCTTTTCCTATGCTGGCTGGCTTTGACGTCCTCATCTGTGCCGCCAGTGATTGAAACGATGCTGCCTAGATAGGTGTAGGTGAAAGAGACTACTTCTTTTGGGTTTCTCCTATTCACGGTGATCGGCGCTTGACGTTGACATTGTTGTTGGTCGGGCACCCTCATCACCTCACTAGGTTGTAAATACGTGCAGCTGATATGTGGCATATGGAACGAAACATGCATCCCGGATTCCTTTTCTAGTCACTACCATGTAAGTTTTCATCAACTGCTCGTAATCACTTGATACAAGGATCTATCTCCTACCATAGGTTCTAACTTTTTGATAAAAGTATCATCTTAGATAAATTATTAGAGTAACTATTTGAAAATAAGAAAAGAATATGACAAAACCTATGCTTTTATGATTATCTCAGCTTGAACTGTCAATATTTTATCCCTTACCAACTCTTTTTTCTTTGCTATTCAACAGATTCAAAACATCCTGGTCAATATGAACTTAATCTTCCACATCAATTAGCTTTATTCGAAGAAGAAGATGCAGTGTGCACTGCAGACAGAGAAAATAAACGAATTGTATGCTATACTGCTGGATTGTATTCCCAAAATCTCGATTATACAGGCAAATTTCTATTCGAATATATTCAACCAGATTCTCAGCCTATTTACGGTGTTGCTGTTGAGCCTTCAAGTAAGATGTTAAAAATAATAAGTAGAAATTCAATGAGTTATTGAATCACGTCAAGATATTAGTCGTATTGATGGATTCGATCTGGTTAACGTCACCTGAAGATTAGCTACTTGTTACAACGCAATAGATTTCGAACATCAAAACACTGTCTTACTCCGATCAATACTGAGTGAGCACTAAGAACTAGACAGCTAAATCGGCTACCCATTGGTAATCACTTTTGGAATATAATCCAGTTGTACAAGAGATCAGTCGTGACTTGAACAGAAAATTGATTAAATCTCTTATTCCAGCAGCGAGCGATGCCGATTTGAATCAGTGAGGGTATACCAGTTTCCTCGTGGTTGTAGATACACCTCTGTGACGAGTATGAGTAGGCGTGAAACCTAGATGCGGCCGGGATTCCTGTCGATTGACTCATACCATCTAACAGATTGCTTTTGTTATCAGGTCAATTGGACTTATCAGGGATTCTGACCTTCGATTAATCCCTTATTAGTGGAATCAGAAAATGGTTCTCCTTATTCCTCTTCTACATTTTGAAACAACCTCAAGATGATAGTGGGTGATGATTTCAGTTGAAATGAAACCTGCATCGTAGCAGGACAATCTTATCAGTGATGTTGCTCATCAGTACGGCGCCCCCTTACTCCCACTCTAATTCAGCTTGATTTTTCGTTGTGGGGCGAGGAGGCCTAACTAGACAGTCTGAATGATGATGAACTGGCAATGGAGTTTCATACCTTTACAAGGTAGCTGCGCGAAACAGTCGTGGTTGAAATGAAATTAGGACCCAGTAACTATTTGGGTTCGGTACTTCAGCTGGTACAGTAAACTTGGTCGGTAATCCTCATTTCAGTTGTTCGAACCATACCGCAATATAGGTCTTTATTCGACCTCCAAACATCATCTAGAATAAGTAATAGAAATCTGAAAAAGCAGCGGTTATTTCAGATAGTTTTACTAACAACCCATGTCAATATTTCTGACTGTTGACTAGTTTTATAACCCCCTGATTGCGGTGTTAATAGGATTTCTATTGGAAATCAACCAGCCACGATAAACAGTTATGGTATTTTAGGTTGATACTCATCACGGACTGACATTAGTTGAAAGAATACTGGATATCTGAGAGCACTAGACAGCTGTTTCGTCCTGATATGGGATTCCTCAGCAGTGCGCAGATATGACCCCACGAGGGATCGAACCCAGGACCCCCAAGTAGGAAATATGGGCCAATGGCTCATTGGTAACGTACTGGCCACGGAACCTGAAGGTCGTGGGTTCGAGCCCTAGGGGTGGGGTCATGAATGCGCACTTCTGAGGAGTCCCATATTAGGACGAAACACCTGTCCAGTGCTCCCAGGTTTCCAACGTTCCTCTAACTAGTATCAGTCGCTGATTAATACTAACTTGAAATTAATAAATCCCCACAAACCTCTAAATTGAACTATGGTATTTTTGAACAGCATGTTCACTTTGAAACCAATTCCACTGATTTATACATTTGATTGGCTTGACTGTGTAATGTACAGGTTTATGGTCAGTTTTCACCATTCAGTCAGTTAAATGCTCAGTTGATCTAAGTAGTTTAACTTTTGTTATCAGAACTCATCTATATACGCTAATCATAAGCTGGATGACGAATGTGGCAAACATTTGCTTGGTGGTTAAATTACCCAGATCTGAACACTAAGGTCTGTAGATCATTGAGTGATTTCTAAATGGTCATGATGTTTTTTGAGGTTATTTCGCTTAAATAACTTGACTGGGGCAAAACTCCATGATGAAGATATGCCACTTATCTATGTGTAAAATAGGCAGTAAGTTTACGGTACTATAAGTAAACTTTAAATGAGAATTTTAGTCATAATTCTTGACCAAAGTTACACAAAGATTACTAGTTGCTATTTTGGAGATTTTAAAAAATCAGTTGTTGATACTTGTACTTTCCCTTTTCTATGCAGGGTCGAATTGTTCTGTCTCCATTGGCAGATGGGTTGTTATGCGGATGTCTTTATACTGCCGAATATTCGTGATATTGCATTCATCTTGGTAAGTAGCAGTGGAATCCAGGAGTCGGATCCCAAATAGGACGAAACGCACATCCCCGGATTTCGCTCCTAACCATCAAGATGAATGTAATATCAGTTGTCGATTTCTCCAAAGTGTAACTGCTTATGATATCTAATACCTAACATCTAATGCATGCTGAATCTTTGGGTTAAATTGTTGTTTACAATTTCGACAATGTTTTCACCCATTTTTGTTTACTTGTTTCTTTGCAAATTGATTAATTGGAGTGTGGTTATAGTTATGGGTTAAAATCAGTTTGAGAACTGGTGAAAACGAAAAGGTGACAGACAACTGTTCCTCTAGATTATTAAACTCATCAGTAATGCTCTCCAACAGTCGTATACATCATCCGCTGATAAGATCATGGATGATGGTCAAAATCAACTATGAACTAAATGAAAGCAATTATAAATTGTGGAACTCTGGCTTCTAATCTATGTGTTACTTGCTCATAAAACTTGAAGATCCTGGCTTCAGCCTTATATCATGTTGGTGCACAATAAAAACTAACTTGGTTGTATTTTATTCTCTGAGATGAGTGGTTTAGTCATGAAACTTTCACAGTTTTTCTGCTCAACATCAGCACTAACTCAGTACGAAGTGAGCCACAAGTATTTTTCCGTTAGGGATTCAGTAGCTTTCAGAAATACAGAGACTGCAAGCCATCATTTTACCAGTGATCAAACCGAAAATGTGGATCCACTGTAAGGACGACACTTTTACTATCATTAAAAATTATGAATTAGACAGCTCCAACAGTTTGATCAGCAACGGTTTCAACGACATCAAATTCATAATGGAGAAAAAGTCTAACTATCAGCTGCCGTACTTCGATGTTTGAGACAGTACAACACACACCAGAAAATTTAAAATTCAAGTGTATAGGAAGTCAACAAACACATCAAATCCTAAACTATAGTAGCAATAACCCAACAACGAATAGAATCAGTTGCGCACAGGCTCTATTCAAAAGAACAAGAGCCCACTGCTGTACAACAACTCCATGGAGCGAAAAAGATTACAGGATGTCTGTCCTAAAGATGTAAAATGGTTGAAACCAGTCTACAGGAAGCCTTGGATCTAGGTTTCTGGCTTGTTGGCATGTGTCAGCAAAGAGTATTTAGAACCTTGACAGGACAGACGACCCCCCGCCCCTGAGGCTAGAAGCCGCGTCACACAGTGTTGGAGTCAACGACGTTACCACGGAGCTATTCGGGATGCGGGTTACACATCGAACTAAGGTGCCGATCGAAGAAACCATGCTAGGCTTACGATTGTACCTGACATCTACAGTATTTAAGTTTCAAAATAAAATATATAAACAAACTGAAAGGGTTGCCACGGGATCGCCAATATCTTCTATCTTTGCAGACATATTTATGGATAGTTGGGAATAGGTGGACCTTCAAACAGTTATTCCTACTCCAAAGATATGGCTCAGATATGTGTATGGCACATTCACGGTACTGAAATCAGAACACATCGCGATAGGTTCTTGACACATATAAATCCAGTGGTAGATGCAATCCGTTTTAGCAGTGACTTAGAAAGGGATTTAGGTGGTCTAACAATGTTGGATTGCAAGATTCAACGAAAACAAGATGAGAGTTTACACATCAGTGTCTATAGGAAACCTTCCAATTCGAATCGCCACTTAGACTTCAAATCATCTCACCCCATCTCAGTTGAAATAGGTTTAGTTAAATGCCTAAGTGATAGGGCGGAAAAACTTACTAGTAGGCCATAAATGTCATAACAAGAAATCAGACACATTAAGAATACTTTGCGTCTCAATAATTGTCCACATAAGTTAATAAACAAATAAGAAGTCAAAAGAAAAACATGAGCAATAATGAGGGTAGTCGATTAGAATAACAGAGCAAAAAATTTAGATAAATCAAGATTAGTAGATCCTAATAAGATAGGAAATCTAGAAAAAAGCTCTATTATAGCTCAGCATGCGATGACATACAATCACACAGTAGGGTGGGAGAGGGCGACAGTGTTGAAAACCAACTTAGTTGGGTGAAGGAAGAGATTGATAACCGAATCTTTGTTTATCGAATCAACGCCAAATACATGCAACCGAAATGATTCTGCACCTGTCCCAGATATATGGAAAATTCTACTACCCTTCTCATCACCGAGAAGAAGAGAAAATTAGGAATATATAAAGTCTGTCACGAAGATGTATAATTACCTCATATGAATTCAGACAATAAATTGTGTCCGAAACGTTATACACTAAACGCTACTGTTTCATTGTGTGATACTTCTGATAAAAAGACTAAAATAGAATTAAATCTCCACTTCCTTCTGCATATTTGTTGAGCGATAGGTTCTTGGTTAGTTCGTGGCCAACCAGCCAGAGTTCTTTGTTGCTTATTCTTACTATTCTCGCCATCTGAGCTGGAGTAACGAGCCAGTGTAGGCAGTTGTTGATGAATATCTGTAGTTTGTTGCAAATGCTTTTCGTAACACGCCAAGTCTCCCAACCATCACATACAAGCACTGACTTGACTGACTTAGTGTTGAAAATCGGGATCTTGTTCTTTATACTGAGTGCAGTGCAGTAGATCTCCACACTGGTTTCAGGTTAATGAACGCCTATCTTGCTTTTCCTATGCTGGCTGGCTTTGACGTCCTCATCTGTGCCGCCTGTGATTGAAACGATGCTGCCTAGATAGGTGTAGGTGAAAGAGACTACTTCTTTTGGGTTTCTCCTATTCACGGTGATCGGCGCTTGACGTTGACATTGTTGTTGGTCGGGTATCTTCATCATCTCTGTCTTCTCTACGTTCACTTGAAGTCCTGTCTTCGCTGCTCTACCTCCTCTGTCAACTTGTTGTTTTTGGCCTGTAGATCTTCGAGTTTGTGCCACAAGACATTAGACATAAATCATCATCGTTGGCGAAATCCAAATCTCCTAGACTCTTTTCATCGGTCAGACAGCGTATGCCCATATTCTCACAGCTCCTCACAGTTTGTTGCATGATCCAGTCCAGTCGAGTCGACCACAATCAGGAAGATCATTGGTGATAGTATGCGGCAACCTTTTCCTACTCCTGTCTTCACTTCAAAGGCGTCACTGAGCTGTCCATTGTGAATCAGATAGTACTCTGTTTATTTGATATAATGTTGTCAGGTCTCTGTCCCTCTTACCTGCAGCCTGTTCTCCTTCGCTCACCAATGTGTCGTAGAAGTGTCTCTTGTCTTTCCGCGCACTCTTCTTCACTTCTTTGTCCAGTGTTTTATACGTTGTACTCAGTTCCTCTCTTCGTTTTTCCTCCCTGCACTCCACTGTACTGCACTGGTTCATCTTCTGCTTCACCATCCTCCTCTCCTCTATCAGCTTCCATATGTCCGTCGAGATCCATTCCTTGTCTTGCTTCTTCTTCTTCTTCTTCCTTCCTAATACAGTCATGCAGGCATCTTTCCACGTCTCTTTCAAAGAATTCCAGTGTTCTTCCACACAGGTTTCCACAGCGATGTTGCCTAATGTCTCCCATTCTTTCCTGATGACTGATGTGAAGATGTGGTTTGTAGTCTCGTCCTTCAGTTACTTTTCTGGGTGTTCAACTTGAACTCTGGTCTATCATCAGCTTCTTTGGAGGCTTTCAACTTGATTTTGAGGGTTCCTTGCACTAGACAGTGAATGGTCTGAACCTACATCTGCTCCCCTTCTTTATCTGATCTTGTGTCCACTAGGCTGGCTGCGTCTCCACTTTCTTCATATTGAGATGAAGTCAATCTGATTTTTAGTGTAGTGTAGTGTGTCCATCTGGTGAAATCAAATACATGTCGTTTTGTGAATATCCTTGTATTTGTACACACTGCCTCCAATCACCAAATCGTTGAATGCTCAGAAGTCTGCAAACAGTTCTCCAGTTCTCTCGTTCATTTCACAAACGAGTGCCTCTCGACCCATGATCACTTCTCTTCCTGTGTTGTCCGCTCCCAGTTTGGCATTCATGTCACCCCACCCATTAGAATTTCGATGTCGCCAACTCGGATAGGGTCTTGTCCAGTAGTGATTGCAGTTGTCTGTAGAATTCCTCCTTCTTCTTTTGATCTGCATTATTTGTAGGTGCGCAGCCCAGTATATTGTATGACTGTGATTTTCCTTCCTTTTGATTTGAATCTTGTTGTCATGATCCTGCAGGAGGAGATTGGTTCCCACTGCATGACAGTCCTCGATGCTCTTCGAGGGGACATCATGATAGCCACTCCAAAACTCGGTGTGCTCGTGGTTGTCGTCTGGGTGACAATATCGGAGTAGGTTATTGACTCTCCAGTTGACAGTTTGGAGAGTCCACTTCCATTCCATCTGCTTTCGCAGATTCCTAGCACTTCTATGCCTTATTTTCTCATATCTTTTGCAATCTGGGTAGCCTTGTTAGCCAGCTTCAAACATTGTGCAGACATTCCATGTCCTCATTCTTCCTTTCACTTTCATCGAGAGAAGCAGAGACACATCGGCCAATTGGCTTCCCGAAGGCTTTCACCAACTGGTGTGATTTCGTCTCTCCGAATCCAGCGAGGAATAAGTTTAATTTAATTTTTTATATTTTCTTTGTGCTTTAAAGTTTCTTTAGCGATTGAATTGGTTTTATGGGTTAGGGTTGCTTGCCCTATGCCCAACCTTCCCTTTTTATCTGGGTTTAGGACAGGCTGGTATTTATGAATGGAGCGAGGTTTCCTCTTAGAATGAAGTAGAACTAATTCAGCTAAATCTAGGTCACTATATCTTAATTTGTGAGGCTCCTGTTTAGCCATTCATGTAACTGCTGACAGTTGCACAATAATTTGGGATAGAGCGAGAATATTAAAATGTAAGTTAGCTGGGCGGATGGAGGAATGGAGAGCTTGCTAATGGAATGTCTGTTAATGGAATCAGCACGAAACACATGCATTAATAGGAATGTTTCTGCACTTGTCCCACGTATTTATAAAATTTTACTACTCTAGTCAGGAAAAGGGTGAGAAGATTAGAATGATATAAACTGTGTGTCAAATCTGTAGATTTACCTGTTTTAACAATGATACTACTACTACTACTACTACTACTACTACTACTACTACTAATAATAATAATAATAATAATAATAATCGCTTTATTCCAAACAGCGTATATGATACATTGTGAAATTTTTAGCAGGGTAATGTTTCAACAAAAATATTTTTAAAAGAAATGATATTGCATCTGTTTAGTGCCAATAATAATGAAAGGCGATAATCTGAGTTGAGTAACAGGTGTTAGGTTATTATCTAGTCGTCACTGTGGATGAATACGAAATCGAAGTGGTGTTAATTCAGTTAGCCAACACAAGAGTTGTATTCTTAAGGATCAATATGTCCATTTCATTCCAACATAAAGTTTTTTCTTTGTTTCTATCTTAGCTTGACAATGAAGAGTTTAAAAACATTTCATATCAGTGCAAGAGTACATGATACACTTAGAAGACATATCCGAAAGATTGAAAGAAACAAAAAGGGAAGAATTTGATAAAATATCTTCGGTGGAAAATGTTTTGGTAGCCGATGACTTAAGGAGACCGCCCTGATATGAATATCCATAATCAATTATGTTCAAAACGTTGTTACCTAGTAAACAATAAGACTGTTTTACTGTGAAATTTCCAATAAACAGACTAAAATGGGATTACAATCTACCACAGTGCTCAAGTTTTACTCCTATATTAATGAAATGTAAAACAGGTTGCTCTCCTCTGACCAATTAGTGAAGAATGGCTACCCACAAAAATTTATCAGAAGATGCCTATCAATTTCATTATCAACTACAAAATCACCCGCAGAAATTAACAAACGAATCATTCTACAGTACATGAAGAATATATCAGAGATTACGACAAGATTAATGAAACTGCTTGGAATTCATGTGACCAATAAATCAAAAATTTTTTAAGCTCGAACTATATTTGCAGATCAAATGACCCAACAACCAAAGACAAACCAAATATCACTTAAAAAACCAACCCCAATAACTGCTATCAGTACAGTGGCGAAAGTGCTCCCCCTCTTTGCCTTCGTTAACATGAACACCAATTGTCAATTAAACGTCACGATATTTCATCGCTCAGTTCAATAAACGTGGATAACAACTACGGACATGAAATCAGTTTTGTAAGTGTAGAAATTTTGGATAGAGGAAACAACTAATATCAGAGAATTCCTAGAAGCTTGGCATTCAGGTCAGTCAACAATCAATAGGTGTATAGACATAGACGATGCATCAACCAATACGAAAAATGATAAACGACAAAAAGTTCAGAAGTCAATCAAAGGAACAATCAACAAGAAAATCTATTCAGTCAATGACATAACAATCAAAGGAAGCAATAAATCGCCAAGCAGTTGGTGAGGGCAATCACTGACGGAGAGATATTGATAGGTCACCTCCTATTGAATTTATTGCTTATAATCTTATTGTCTAGAAATAAAGTGAAAGCTTCACGACTAGACCAACCATCTCAGGGAAGACAATATAACAAAGACCATCTACCTGAACTAGAAATATTCCCCACCATTTTATATACAGCTATGTAATGCATCCTAAACCTCTTTTTGTAATAAAAACCACAATTCATTGTACATAGTAAGTCAGGTTACAACATCACCAAGACCATATCGCTTTAATGACAGTTCCTATAATCCAATTTTTCTAAGAAACAACTCAAAATTATCATTTATTGTCAATTGATTTTGATTTTAGAAAAACTGTTACTTGCTCTTGTGGGGTCTACAGGAAATAAAGATGATTCGAAAGTGGAGATAATTGATTTCAGTTCACAAACTATGATGGGTGAAATAAAGAATGAATTGAAAGTGGTAAGTTATTGTAAAGTAGGAGTGAAGACAACAGAAATCCCTGCCTATTATTTTTTCTGAGTGAAATTCGTGATTGCCCATTATCCCATTTCCTGTACTTAAAACCGGTTATTTCATCTTGACAGGTTATTGTGCGTTGCGATGAGGTAATTTAGTTGTAGATGCACAGATGAATCAGATTACCTGAAAGATACAGAAAATAATCACCAGACTTTGTGTTCTATTGTGCATGGTTGCAGGAGAGACCCAAATCTATCGTGTAGGTGGAATGAACATATTCGAGACCAATCACGTGGAAGACCAGGGTTAAGACTGAATAAGGAGAATCATGTGCTAAAGACGGTTGCAGTCAGAAATGGTTATAACAGGAATCACCTTATGCTCTCAACGCTTAAAACTATGAAAACGCTTCAGAAGGAACAAGAACCGATGACGACGAAAAACACTAGTTGACAAACTTCTGTTGACTTTTATTGTACATGAACACGGAAGCGATTCGCTCGCCTCTTATAATACAATGTCAAACAACCCAACACTGTGTCACATTCGTTAGTTTGTTGGCTGATTGGAAAACTTGACCGGTTGATTCTAGTGATACTGTGCAGTACAATATTACACATTCACAGGAAGTCGTTCGAATAAGCCAGCCCACCAGAGATTGATTCATTCCTCTCCTGAATCGCTTAGTGGTAAATTCTCCTACTTCAGTAGTGCGCAGTGCAGGTTCGCATTGACGGTGAGTACAATAAGCAGCTAGGCAAATAAATATTTTTGGCTTTTCCACAATCTAGATGTTTCTGTAAAATCAAGATAAACTGTCAAATGGACACATTGAATTCCTTTGTCAATGGGATATTGAGTGAACTCATCCGTGTGAGTGTGTGGGTGTGTGTGCATGCATGTACGTGTGCAGATAGCTAAATACACTCACATAAGCATATGTTAATGTGAACAACGGATACAAATAAAACTGAAATATTCCAAAAATATCTTTGGAAAGTATTTAACGGTATGAAAATAAGTTATGGCTTATATGGTCGCTAGCAGTGGGATTCAGGACGCAGGTCTCATCTCTTTTAGGACTCTTCAGCTAGATCAACCTGTACCCCAGAGAGTGATAGTGGGACATTTTGATCCAGTAATAAAAACGGGATATTAAAAGCACCAATAAACTCCATCTTCATATTACATTTTGGGAATTTATAAATTACATTTCAAAATCATTTGTGATCTATATGTTATTAAGTAGGTTTGAAAGTTGTAAAGTGATGAAAGCAACAAGTAGGAGATATTTTCATCACTTCTCTAGAACAAACACGACTGTGTTCAGCGATAAGGGGAACAGAGTACCTCAGAATATGCTGATGATGAAACACTCATCGCATATAAACTGTATGAATCAGACATTTCAAGTTATTCGATAGGCTAAATGAGACCCATTCCATCATTTAATTTGTAGCGGAAAATCAGCATGACAATGAGTTGAATCTATAGGACCTCAATTTGAGAAGAAGAAGAAGCAAAAATGGTGATACGATCAAAGAAATTCTCTGTTTAAACAGACACCTTAAGTACCACAACAACTTTTGCCTTGCCAACAATACGCACAGACTAGTCAGAGAACTTTACACAGCAGAAACTTTTGTTCGGCTGAGAAAGTTAGAAGAAAAGCCAAATATCAATGAGTATAAAGGAATTATAAATTTCATAAAATCTCAGTGGGGTAGGAAAATAAATTCTGATGTTTCATGACTTCGTGGAAGCCGCTTCTTCAGAGAATAAATCCAGTACACGTTGTCACATGTTTAAATCACGTTGTTCATACATAACAATAATAATATGGGAATAATAGTCATGTTTATCAGTTATTGGTCCATGAGGTCGAGTTGAAGATGTGAATAAGTGTATGTGTGTGTACAAATGTGATTACGTGTGAATGAGTGAGAAAAATGCTATGAATGAGCATTCCCGTTTCTTTTTGTGTACAGTGCTGTTTCGGGGTGACTTTAAAGTGACATCTTAACAACTGCTGAGATAACCAATTACGGTTCTTTATTTTATGGAAAACTGATAGGCGAGCCAAAGTACTGCGACCTGACTGGCTGTTTCAATAGTTGCTATGGTGACCTTTAAAGTCACCCGATTTTAGATATACTTTTCAAGTTGCTTGGGTGGTTTGGCCTTCTTTTCTATCGTCTGCATCATCTATCCATCTTTCCTTGTGGGTTGGAAATCATTTTTGAGTAATTTTGACATTTTCAGTGACAATTTTGAGGCTATCAAAGATAGTATGAACAGCAAATACCAATCAGATTTATAAATTGTTTCCAGTTCTACAATATTATTCGCTAGTTATTTTGTTTAGCTGTCATGCTCTTTAGCACAACTGAGGATTTCGTGGGATGATTCCATGATATAATAAGCAACACAATCCTAACCTAATTTGCAGACAGCGTTCTGTGGTAGTAAAATGAATTCTATCTATTTTAAGTGAACTATAGGATTGCTAACAGTGTTGGTTATAATCCGCTCATCTAATACTGAATTTACTCAATTCTATCAGGTCAAATTCCGATCTTGAAGTCTTAAAAGTCATTGAAATATGCTTTACAGAGAATGCTTGTCGTCAAAGATTTATCACAAAATCTGGAAAGTTGTATTCATCCTGGATCCATTGAAGTTACATTATCAAGGAGAATAGACAAAACGATCACATGAGCACTGGAGAGAATTTTTTCTGTAATGAAATTTGTACCAGTATGTGACAGCTGATGCTGCCTTAACTAGTCTAAAATAGATCCTAGTCCAGTTCATATTAAATCCAGCTAATTTTACGAATGCAGTGGTGAGTATAGTGAAAGTGCTGACAGGAAAGCTTCCAATCAAGTTTCTGATCAGTTAATTTACAAGACAACTTGTGGATGCTGTGAGTCAGACTAATAGTGCAAGTACTTTTAAGACAGCAAATGTACAGAAAATGGGTCAAACTTATTTCGCTTTGTTGAAGTGAGGCGATTAACTTTCTTTTAACCAGATCAATTCATCCATGTTATAGTGAATGTATTTCGATAACGTTTCAGTCATTCGGACATTGATTCCTTCACATGTTACGCAATCTGGCAGCTAGTATGAAAGTTGTTTCTTCACTTATACATTCCCTTGACCTCTTTACAACTCTTGAATCTTGGACTGAAAAGACATCTGAATCGGTGATGATTTTCAATCAGAAATTATAAATTATCAGAATTTTTGATTCTCTGATTTACGGTACCTTATCCAATCCTCAAAATGATATCATTTTATGAACATATCACAGCCAGCTACCCAAATGATTACTCATAAGGGGGTACATTAGAGATGAGAGATAAACATGGAAACTTAAGATCATTCTATCCCGCACCAACTTAGGTTTTGAAAATCAACTCAGAATTATGTTAGGAAAGAAAATTTGCATATAACGTTGACAGAAGAGAAGGAATATTAGAGACACTATACAAGACTATCAGTGCGGTTAGAATGATAGTTTTAATCAAGAGTAGACATTCTTTCAAAGATGAAGAGTATACTAGCCCAAGGATTCAATTAGTACAGTGTCAGACAAACGATTCAGTCTACAAAAGGGACTATGCGATGAATATGAACAGAAGTCGCAGTGACGTATCGGAGTCAGTTAGACTGAACAGAAGATTCAGCCTGCGACAGGATGGGAAGAAGTAACTACGCTAAAGATCAGTTGAGAGGGAGGAAGAAGTTGATCATCGAAGTTGTCTTCATCAAATCAACTTTATATACGGTACACCGCAGAAATGATTCAATAGCAAGATCGGGATTATAAAAATGTGTACTCCTTTTACAGTGAAACCATGAAGAGTGGGACGACGATGGAAATTAGGTCTCAAGAGTTTTACTATTGGCGTAGCATGATTATTGGTGATAAATAAGTAAATCTACTGAAAGGTCAGCCGACATAAGCTGTGCTACAGCGAGCTTTCGTATTTGTTGATACTCGCCAACCTTGGATGTCGACAATGTTGAAGAAACTTGTATTTCTTCCAGTCGCCAAATTAAGCAACTAAGAGACTTTGGAGGAACATTTATAGGATGGAAACGAGAATACATCTTTGCCATGCAGCAACCACATTCCAACTATTGCTCAGAGTCTAAAAATAAGGCTTCTAAACTCTACTCTTCCACTAACTCTGATTATCACCCAGAATTTGATATTCACCTGAAAACTATGGGTGTGACTCTGGCATTTGAAGCAAAGGGTACTGAGTTCAAGCCCCGGTGGGATGCAGTAGCATCCAGCTCACGAGTCCCAAATAAGACGTAACGAGCGTCGTCAACTTCTCTTAAGGTTACCGAGACCAATATAGCTGTGTAGTAACCATATTTAAGAAGGCCAAACAAATCGAACGAATTAAAACCAAAGCACTCAATTTTCCCCATTTGTTAATCTACATAGAAAGAAGAGGAAAAGGTAAATGTCCACTACCTAGTTTATTGCTGTTTGGTGAAACATGAAGACTGCTTTTACCACTTACATATGAGCGTACAACTTTTGGCCTTGATCAATTAGAGCATAGTGATTAGTTAAAAGTGCTGTTAATTAATGAGAAATAGGTAGTAAATGAACGCGGTAAATATGGTAAGACAAGGCATGTAACTAAAAAATGAAAATTTAAGATGCTTATCTAAAACGATAAATTGTAATACAACTTTCTTTTTTCTCTATTTCCAAGGGTTTCGGTGATGTTCACTCAATCTCAACATGTCCGAACAGATGGAAAATAAGCTGTATATTACTTTGCAATACAGACACACCGCCTCAGTTAAGATTGCTCAAGGATGAAAAGAGAAGTATACTATCAGACAGTCAACAAGATAATCTACAAGACCAACTTGAAAGACGTTTATGGCTGTATCATTTACAGTTGGATTCCGAATAAAATAAAAAACCATAAGAATTGATAAATGATGTGATAATCTTTATTCTCAAAATTATACTGAGTTCATTTTTCACTGAATATAAAGTATATTAATATCACAAATAAATAATTAAAGTAAAATGATTCTTTTTTCATCCATTTGTTGTTTGCATCGGTTGTTGTTAATGCCGACTACCAGTTTTTCCACCAATTCGATTGCAGCTTCAATTTGATGCAAAAATATTATTTGTAATATTTCATTATCATCGTGTTTCGAGTGCTGGTAAACAGCATGTTGTCATGTAACTTAATGTTGCTTAGCTGGTATTGCTGGTCAATATTTCGTCCAAATTTTCTATGAAACCAGATTGTTTTGGAGTAATTTCACTCAACGTCTTTGTTCGTTGTGGTTTTCTTCACTTAATGGCTAGATTTGCTATGCAGCATGTCGAGCTGTCTAACTGCGTCACATTGGGCATGTCAGTACCAGCCTACTGTCTGTAAGCTGACTTCTTGTAGTTTTTTGTGGTATAGTCACTCTGTTTAGGTAAGTTAACCGTTCATAATGTGAATTTAGAATGAATAAGGTTCATTCTGTAAAATTTTTAGTTGTTAAAGTCTAACGCTTTTAAACCAGTAAAAATGTATTTGGAAGGTTAAAGGAAGATGTTAGGTTATCACCTGTGTTAAGTGTACTAATGAATACATATGTATCTCATATTTACCTTTTTATGTTATTGCTGATCATGCAGACTTATGGTGGGCAGTCTGTAATAATCCACTGTATGTATTTTCAGTCAAATGGGGAATGAGATTTTGCAATCGTCAGAGCATTTGTGCTCCCTGATGGAATTATTGTGTGTATGCTACTCAATAAAGCATTGCAAAGGAATGCAGTGGATCGTCTGTTAGCCTCTCATTTACCTAATAGCGAGGAGTAGCTAAGAAATCATCCGGACATTGAGCATTTGGGATAAAGATACATGAAGTAGTTGACATATGAGAGTAAGTCAGCTTCCTAAGTATTTGTATGATAATGCAGACTTTGTGATGATATTGAGTCCGTAGAACCACATCATGACAAGGAATTTAGAAAGAGATGTATGTGATTTGTGGGTGTAATCACACAGAAACTATCACTTGTAGTTTTTAAAGACGATGGCTGCAGTTATATTTCCTGAATGTCCACACGGAAGCAAGAAAAGGGAAACTGTGAACGTTTTGAATTCCTACACTGACTCCAAGAGAACCGTTTATATGGTGTTATGTTGGGCGTGCCTGACCACCCAAGAGGAGTAAAACTTGCTGGTTCAGTGAGTACACGAAGAACCGACAAGATTTACTCTTCTTTGGTCGTGTATGCATCTATAACCTTATACGACGTTAGTTGTTTTCCTTTGTTTACTAATTTAATGTAAGACTATTAGTTCACTTAGTATACAGGATTGCAGATTCTCCACACCTACTCTGAGGCAGCAAACTATCTAGTCCAGGAATTAGGAAACAATGTCTATTGAGCAGAGGAAGCACATTCATATTTGTTTGCTTGAGTTCTCAAAGGTTTTTGACAGGTTGAATCAGGATATTCTTTATAAGGGACATCAGCTTATGGGTGTACACCGAAAGTGATTAAGTTGGCGCAGAGATTATCCTCACTAGGTAGCAGATAGTTATAGTTGGCCCCTCTGTACTAACTGGTTCCCAGATGCTAAGTGGCGTACCTCAGAGTTCCTTTCTTGTTCCCATACTGTTTCTAGCTGTTATCATCTGCAATTACAGGAGATAACAATAGAGGCATAAATCAGCATCTGCAGTTGTATAACGCTCCGCTTTGTGCATTCTAAGTGACATGATTAGTTGTATAATTTATGGGGGCAATTTCAGAGACAGTTTACTTCGCTGTCATCATGTATTTTTCGAAATGCTAGCTGATACACTGGATCTGAGTAATAAGGTGCATTGGTTACACCTGAGATGTCAGGTGTGTTTTCGAAATGCGAAGAGATCATTGGTTAGTCAAACTTTTCCTAATCAACTTTGTGCATATGTGATCCGTGCTTATCGTTTTTCCCAGTGACTGCATGTAAGCATATACCGCAGACTATAAATTTTCGTTTTGTTCTACATTGCAGGATAAGCGTCCTACTACGACAAGATCGCGAAAGGAGAACGCTGAAGGAATGACTGATGAACACTTACTCGGACGACACTCTAAATGTTTTGAATACTTACTACCGAAATACATATTTTCACCTGTAGTGAAATGCGTTTTCTCCAGTCAATGCTCATGAATAATGCTGGAACTGTAGAAAATAAGTAGTGTTGAACTCCCTCGTTAAGTGAGCTCCTGTGCAGACGCATGTGAACCGGTGACTTGTCATGACAGAGTGGATTTCACCACAAAAGTGTGAACTCGTAGACTTATTCTATACGGATTCCAGGATTACTGATAATAATTCAACAACCTGAAGCCATGAAGTGATTGCGAGTTTTCCTATTTTTCGAGCCTGAATGATAACTGGCCTACGCACTAATACGATGGTTTTCAGAAACATTGTACACGTGCCTGTAGCAACGCATTAGCATACTCAAAAAGCTATTATCAAGATATCAAGCTTGTATTATGAGGTAAAATAATGTGGTAATTAGCATGATAAAAAATGTCTGTGCGAACAGTCATACATAAATGGTAATCCAGTAGGCAGGTTCAACGTCGTTTACCTGTAGAAGACAATAAGTGAACATGTTAGATGGTGCATGGAAAGTGTTCTTGAAATTCGATTTCGAAAAGGAACACAGACTTACATCACTCTACTTTTTATCATCCATTGCTTATGCAGTGAAGTTTGCGTGTACAATTCATTTTGCCATCTAAGTGTAAGGTGGAAATGAATTGGATTTACCTGTCTGTAAGGGCTCTCGTCCATACCTAAAACGGTGGTGGGCGTAAATCTCAGGATTAAAAAGTAGGCAAATGTTAAGGAATGGAATAGGTGAGCAGCCTACGGTTCATCGTTGAGCTGTTGTCTGCCGGCTGCGTCCACGCTCTCATCTGCTAAACTGATGAGGCGATTCATTAGGTTTGTCGCCTGTACATAACCATATTCACTCCTGAATTGAGACATTCGCCTGTTAAGTCTGCGCTTCATAAGGGGATAGTCAGCAACTTCCGATGAAACGCTTTCGATCTCCGAGTAAGGAATGGTAATGCGCGGCTCACTTATAATCCATCGTTGACAATTTCGCAGCACGCAGGCGACTACATTTAGTAAAGCACAATACGTCAACTTACCAGTAAATTCTCGGAATTGCAAGTGAGCTATCAGCATGTGTCGACAGGGGAGCAGGCAGGTCTTATAAACATTACAGGAACACATCCCCTGATGTATATCAGTTTCCACATTCCTGTAACCGTCTACCAAGAAAGCTCAATTGGATAACTTATTTTCGATGCATACTACTGCCGGCCGTTTAAAGTCCATTATAACCTTCCTTACAGCGTAAGGACTCCGTTTTTCGAGGACCGCTCGAAGCCTTTTAGGTCCAGCAGACCCTTGTTTTTCAGAACCCAGCAATTTCATTTCCAACTTTTTCCTTTCGCTTCTTCTGCTGTCCCACTGACACGCTTTCCAAATCGATATATGCAGCTTGTCACACTTTCTTAGCCTCCTTTTTATCTACTTATGGAGGCTTTCAACTCTATTATTAGTATTATTACCCAATGTCAGGACATCATTGTAGAATGCTGAGGACCAAAGTTGCTTACAATTCATCCACATGCGACTTAAATACCTCCTCACATCTTGACTGATAGCGTCGATGATGCGTTATATGCATAAAACCTGTGTTGGACGTTAGTATACTGTTTGCATCTTATCTGCTGGTTGATTCTTCTCGAACTAATCCGCACAGATATTGTTTGACTATTGGATTCTTTGTCTTTAAGTTAGGTGCATATAAACACTCATTTGAAATGCTTACGCTTTTGCACGTCGCTCTGCACACGTGGAATGCACACAGGACTACATCTATGTTTGGGAAGAGAGTCTGAACAGCCGCCTTCAATGTCCTTGCACAGTCAATGACAAACGTTCGTGTGGACGACATTTCACGCATTATCCGCTTAAGGGCATCTAACATCTATGTCACATCTGCCCTTTCTTCTAACCTAGTCCACCGAACATAACCGGGCGACTGTTATCAAAATTGTCCGTCACAACAAATTGAAACAATTTATAGCTACGCTTCATGTGAATGCTATCACGATAGACATACTTCCCCTTCTTTGTATTAAACGTTGAATCCAAGCATACCACTTCCGGAAATTGGAGGTACGTGGCTATTTGATCGGTGCTGCTGAAGCACACTCGACCCACCTGGTGATGCTCACCATCACTCCAGGTTATCAGCCGACCAATACTTCTTAATTTATCGAAAACTATTGCTTGAGATTCATAACCTGTAGAATAAAAATTATTCAGGAGATAAGTTACTTGGTGTTATTTTCCTCCGGATATTCTTCAGGTAGTCATAAGTTATGTCCTTCGACATAACGTCTTTTACATACTTCACAACACGGTCCGGTTCAGACCCCACTGTCAGCATGCATCGAACTACCTTCATTTCATCCTCCGTTAATCGTCTGGACCAAGGGTCTTTCGCAAGATAATTCATATCACATGAATGGTTGTGTACCATCTTGACACTTAGAAAAATAAGGCGATTCAAACCATAACGTATTCGAATTCTAGACTGACAACCAATATACTTCGATCTAAAACGCTACGCTTAACAAATTCTTAGATTGCCCCTTAATTCGCTGTTTAATGCCCTCTGACTTCTTTCTCTTACCAAAAGTGCATGCCAAAACAACATAGTGGTACTTTAAATCAGCATCTCCCCTATACCGATTGCATTCCGTGACGACGTAGTGAGTATTCGTTATCTAAACAACGAGTTAAGTGACTTCTTAGCATACTTTCTGAAAGGTATTTATTTATCGCTTCTTCGACTTGACTCCAGACAGTAAAATGTCTAGGTCGTATAGTCTGCTCAAACACCGCAGAAATATCCACACACGTTGCACTAACCAGGCTAGCACTGCTCGAAGAAGCTTGCCGAGACTCCATGAAGCTATGCGAACGAATAGGTGAAGCATTCTTTTTAGAGGACTTTCAGCTGAAGTGTTAATAAACAGCAATGGAACGTGTCAACATTTGCACCAACTTCCTTAGCAACCACATAAAGGCCGTAAACGTTGAAATAATTCGGGGATTTGGGGCAGCACAGGCAGCATCACGGCTTTTTTAACGATTAACCAACTTCTAACACAACAAGAACAACATAACGCGGATAAATTTACATTAGCCCATTAATATAACATGAAGAAATACATTTCAACAAACACATATGCAAAAAACACTTTTTATAACTGACCCGTGTCCCCAAACATTGCAAACAATAAAAGCAGTTAACGAAACAGGCAACCAACGAAGGCAGTATCATAAACGGGGCATAATTAAGTAAAATTCATAACATAAGAACGGCAACATCTGTAACTTTGATAAATCAACGAAAAACTCGTCAGCACGAAACCAATCGTCCAACATAGCCTGCTAAGATGGCGGAAAATGACCTTACAATGGTCACAAGCAGCATTCTGATTGGTTTCCAAGTTGTAAGGCGCTTCTTCAACTTCGCCTGTAGGATACCCGCAGTCTCATGTTTCCAGTTAAAATGCTTAATGATTCATTAGCCAATCTCCTAACAAATAATCAATATAGACATTTTGTTCAACTGTATTTGAATTCTGTTGTGCTATATATTGGTATTTAGTGGTACACTTCAAAAAATTTCATTTTATCTGATGACTATAGAGAATTGAAATTTGGATAGCATACTAGATTAGAAGGTATACGCACTGATAACCGCAGTATCTAACGATCCCGGACTTAATTCTTTTTGGGGTAGTTGGTGATAAAACTGCTGAGAGGTTTCGAGCTAGGTTACACTAAATGTTGAGTCGCCTAGCTGTCAATGCTTTTATAGATTTCCCATACATACATTTCTCTCCATAAACTTCAAAATAACAAGAACAAACATCGGAGCAGAATATGACGGATCCACATTTTAATGATGTTTTTAATTTCCCGTTGCTAGACAGGGTATATAGACTGCCATCCGGATGCCTCGATACTACTGGATATTTTTGATGTTACATTGATCTTGGTGGCTGGCAGAGGAATCCAGGACACAAATTTCATCCTATTTAGGACTTTAAGAGTCTATGATTGAAAGGAAGTAAGATACTAACTAGCGTAATTCCCAGACAACCCACAAACACAGGATATCAGGTTGAAACCTCCAGTGGTAGATGCCGAGTCAATATCCACCAATGTTCCGCTTACTGAAACTATCTCCTTCTGATGCATATACATAGAAGATAACAACATTATTGCTGGGATACTGACACCCCACCTTAAGGAATTGTTACTCAGATGCACATTTAACATTCATTCCACACTCAACAACGCGATTTATAAACAGAAAGATGGAATCGCTATGGGAACCCTACTAACAGACTGCTTTATGACCAATTTGGAAAACAGACCTTTGAAATCAACGATTGAAAGTTTTCAACTGTACAAAAAGTACGTGGTTGAAACTTTTAGTATCCATAATCATCAATATTATTCGAATCACATACTGCCAATATCCAGTAACTGCCGTTTAGCAATTAGATTCGCCCTTGAGGTCAAAAACTCACTTTCTTGATGTATAGCTGACAACAACAGCTGATGGAACGTTAAGTAGATTAGAAAACCAATATGGAATGGTCACCTGATGAACTTTAATAACTGGGTCCTAATGAGTCGTAAGCTCTTAGTTTTCAGTTTTTGAAATCTCATCTACTCTACCCCCTCCGTGTATAGCTTCGTGTTCAGTACCTCTAACCCCAACCTAACGCAAACCCACATTTTTTGTCAATTCGATAATGTGAAACACCGTAGGCAGGTTTCCAACAGTAGATGAATAATGGTCGAAGTTGCAACGAAAAATTGGTCATCTAGGACAGCACACTCATATTTGCACAGCGATGACTTACTTGTTGTTTACTGACCTTTGCCCATTATTTTCGATCCCCTAATCTTATTGTCTGACAAACAGTTACATCTTATCCTAACAACCGACTGCTTATTTCATCCATGATTTGAATTGTGATGCCATGAACTCAGTTGGCTAACAGTTCGGTCATTTTGATATTCACTTTAGTTGGGTTTTGTACAGCTAAGAATCAAGTTCATCCATCCACAGCCTCTTAATGTTAACAATTAGCTAAAAATGAACACAGGAATTTCTATTCACCCCGACCGCCTCCCACACCTCCATCTGCTGTCACCACCACCAATCGTACTAGTTACAATTCTGGTTTGCAGAAACACGACTCTCAATTTTAAACAGGGAATAAAAAACAAGATTCTTCAATACAACATATGTAATTACACAATGGAGTTGTGTTTGTTTAAAGAAAAGAAAACCGGTCAATCCCCCTACTATTTACTAGTCTTTTCAGAAGAAGCCTTGACATCGTCATCATGGTCGTATGTGCCGTGTTGTAGGAGGAGATTGGTGATATGAATTAAACAAGCTTGTAATGGATTTGCCTGATCATTACTACTACTACTGGTAGTAGTACTGCCAACGTTATTAATACTATTCCCGTCATGAGTATTCGAATGAATAAACACAATCATTGAGTGGATTTGTACTAACAACTCTGGACAGCCGTAAACAATTGCTGTAGATCGAATTCTATTTAATTCCTGTAGAAAGAATAGATAGGAAAGTAAAGAATACATAGAAAGGAAAGTATTCATAAGTCTAGTTGTACATACCTAAATAGCGTGCAAATATGAGCTAATTGAATTTGGCAGTTTGTGGGAATGTAAAAAATTATCAAGTTGGTATTCATCATGGGTTGACATAATTTGGAGGAGCCTGAAGGCCGTGGGTTCGACCCCTGGCGGGGTGGTGGATGTGCACTGCTGAAGTGTCTCATACTAGGGCGAAACACCTGTCCAGTGATCCCAGGTTTCGAATGTTCCTCTAACTGATGTCAGTCCATGATGAATACCAACTTAAAAGATCTCTAAATTCCCCAAAACCACCAAATCCAACTGAACTAGTGTTCATTGATGACTAACTTCGACGCCTGATTCTGGAAGTTCCAGTGAGAAATCGTGACCAGTGAAGCAAACTTGGTGGCCATGATGACGAATACTCAACGATGACATTGGCTGATGGTCGCGCTATGTCGCCAACTAACAGAAGTAGGAAATATGGAACATTGGATCCCGCCGACCCAGTGGATCAATGGTAACGTGCTGGTCACGGAACCTGAAGGTCACCAGTTCGATAACTGGCGGAGTCTTGGGTGAGCACTGCCGAAGAGTCCCGTACTAGGATGAAACAGTTGTCGAGCGCTCTGAGGCTCCCAATGTTCCTTCAACTGATGTCAACCCATGATGAATACCAAATTGAGAAATGAGTTAGTCTACTGTGAACTTTAGTTTTTATTCAGTAGACATTTTGACGACAAAAGATACTCATTAAATCGTAAAGAAAAGAAGAGGTAATCCAGTGAAGAAAATTTTCTTCGTCGATGATACCATTTCCTTAAGCTGTACAATTGTATTCATGTACAAATCACAAACCTATAACAATCTATGATTTAACTGATAGGGTAGTATACTTTCACCATTAAATCAGTTAGGAATAATGAACGGAGTTTGACAAGGTGAAAATTACTAAGTGAACCAACAAAGTAGAAGGAATCTTCACTATTGTCTCACTTACGGAAACTATCTGTTTCCTATGTGATTTCATCGATGATAATAATTTTCACATGAGTATCCCAAAGCAATATTTAAAGGAATTACTTTCTACGCTTAATTCAAATTCAACAATGAGCTATATAGACAAAAAGATGGGGCTGCTATGGGGTCACCACTTGAACCACTGCTGTTGGCTGATTGCTTCGTGCTGAACCTAAAGAACAGTGTACTTCATTCAACAATTGATAATTTTTACCTATATAAAAGATATATGGATGATACATTCATCACATGGGATCAAAATACAGATATCGGAACTTTAGTTAAAAGTTCAATGATTGTCACCCATCGATCAACTTCATATCAGAATTTGAAGAGAACTCAGAATTCCATTTTCTCGATGTCTTATTGAAACGGAGACCAGATGGCTCTCTTCACAGATCGATTTATAGGAAGTCTACATGGAATGGATAGCCGGGTGACTCTTAGCAGATAAATAAATCTGATCCATTCTTTATCTTCAAGAATTGGAAGAACCTGGACGATTGATACTGTCGACGATGAATTAGACAAAGTACGAAAGAGTCTCATTCAAAATAGATACCCATCCAGATTTACTGAGAACCTGAAATTAAAACAAAACACGGAGCAAGCGCTCAAAGTACCAAAGAAGACCTTGTTTATGAACGTTGGTTTCAAAGGCCATATGATAGCAGAGATCCTGAAGATTTAGCTGTCCAGATAGCTGAAGGAGATATTCTTCTCTGTGAAGCTACAGATCAACTTCTCTACTCAGCAATCGGTTCCAAAGTGCGTTAAGGACAAGCTGCCACTTTGGGTCACCTCAAGGTGTGTTTACAAATTTATTCGCTCCTGAGGAGGTAGTTATATAGGCCTCACAAAGCGCACACTTTCCAAGTGTTTCTGAGCTAACCTGGATGGGTGTCGAGGGGAGAATGTACAGTTCTTGAACATTTGGTCAACTCTGGACAGACAGCACTCCACCAGAATCCTTCTTCTTAAGTGTCATTTATAGAATCAAAAGGTGAAAATTATTGGTAAATGTGAAATGCTACAGTTGAGTGAGCATCCACTTTACAGATATGTAAAGAAGGTTGAAGAAAGAAACAAGGGTCATAATGAGGGTGATAACAGTAGACTAACTAATGATGAAATCGTAAAAAGTGTGAGTGTTAAGAGAATGGTAAGGTATCAGATTGAGCATACTTCTTCTAGGGTGCAGAGATTGGTGAAGTTCCAATGCTTTTGTTTTGTACAACTGCCGAAAGTGTACTCTATTTTGAACTATTCTCTTTGATTTTGTAAATAACATTGAAGGAGGACTTTTAGAGAGCTATATGTTCAGAATTGATCAAATGTTCAAGAACTGAACTGTTAATTGATATACATTCTCCTCTTAACAACCATGTAGGATGGTGCTCAGTGATATATTTGAAAGGTGAGTGCTTTGTGCAAGTATATCGGTAGACACATATCTGGTGTAGTTACAACGTCGTCTAACTACATTGATATGGTTGTCGACAACAGATTGTACCCAAAACACCATCCAGTAGATAAGCAGATTTACTAAGAGGTTTCCGGAAAATTATATGAGCATAAGTGCTATTGCTTAATCAGATCGGCTAACAAAGTCAGCGATGATAAACTAGTCGACTACTGTTGAAATGCAATACACTTTCCATAGTCTTAACACATTCTCACCCTTTCGAGGGATTGAACGATGATGGGTGAAGTGAAATTTTGAAGGTTATCGTTCAAATATTTACAGAAGTGGATTAACATTAGACGGACACCGTAATATTTGTGACACTATTCGGTCACATCTTGATCATGGACCATATAAAGACTATAGGAAATGCCTCATCTTTCTACTTATTACCTGGAGCTACAGAGAGAAGTGAGAGATACCACTCGCTTTCTGTGTACGTCAGTAATACGGTCCGTCCGTCCACTAGGGTTTATAATACTACTTGATTATATAGGCCGAAGTGATTGGTGCGAAGTTTGAACCCAGGACTTATTTCCTTAGATGTTTTATGCTTCAGCTAACTAATCATATCCCCATACTATGCACATCAGTGTTCTCCTCCGGGTAAACATAGAATTTTTTGTACAAGATATACCAACGACTGATATTTGTCAAATACAGTACAACCTATTGTTCTGAATGGATCACGATTGCTTGAAACACCTACTATTTAGCGTAATTTAGCTACGTTTAGACTGCCATTTATGAAGTTTTATTTCTGATGAATACTACAGGTTGCATACATCATATAAAGACACTGAACACAATATGCATGGTAACTACATATCACAAGTTAGGCATATGCATTTACTAGTTATGAATTGGTAGCTTAAACGGAAAAAATACACTTTATTCAAATAAACTTAAACACTGCAACCAATAAATTAGTGTCTAATAAAAAAAAGTAATGTTGAAAAATGTTAATATTTCACTTCACATCCTGCTATATTATACTTACCATTTGGGATCTTTAGCTTTAAACTACTTACTAATGAGTAGCAGTATCATCTACATTTCACGTGCCTATCTTGCACGTGGCACTGCGTAGTTTCACTGTTGTTACTTGTATTATCTCGTCGTTGATTAGACAAGTAACAACATAAAAACTAAACCCGTCGCAAAAGAAGCTAGGTATCTAAGTATCTAGGTATCGTAACTTGGTGACCTAGTGGATAACGCTATGGCGTTTAGAGTGATCCGTCCCTGGCTCAAGCCCTAGTGGGAACAAAGTTGCTCACTAGAAGGCTGGAACATCCAGCTGACGAGATGCGCGTTGTGGATTTCATTGCTAGCCACGGTCCGTCACAGGTTTCAAACCGGTTACATTTAACAAGGTTTTCCCAGCCAGATAGCAGGCGTGATTTATTGCCTACTGCAAGAATGTGATAATGGTACGTTCAAATTAGTCTATAAAATTTACTAATGCCTGGAATACAAAAAATACCTGTGACTAAAGGAAACGTGCTTGTGTGACGCTGGAAGGCTTCTAATTCAAACTGCTACTGAGAAAGACAGTGTAACAACGGTAAAGAGAAGTGCAGACGAGTGTAAAAAAGAAATGTTTTATATAACACTGAATAAATACTGATGAAACATTGTTTACATTTTTTCTCGAGTTAATAACATTCAAATAATAATGAATTTTCTGGATACAACATGCAAATAGAAAATAGTGAACTCACTTTATAGAGTAATGCAGACTTTTCAGGAAGACGTCGACTTAGTCTTAGAACTTTATTAATATCCATAAGTATCGCAGACGGTGATGCCCAGGAAACATATCGCGAACAGTCTAGCAAAAGAATAAATTAATTATATTAGGCTGCATAAACGAGGCGAGAGGAAAGGATGGGAGTCGTTCGGTTAAAACTGGAACATAGAAGATATCCTGTTGGCTAGTTTAAAATCACTTCAAGTAACAATTTTCATCCCATATGAAAATAAACAATATTGAAAATCGTTTGAGTAGTATTCGATCAACAGAATATATAGTCCCACTGTGGACTGTAATATGTGTCGAGAATCGTGAGGTACAGATGCAATCATAATGTTATTGCTTGGACCGACAACAACATTGAAACTACACCTATCGTTCAAGAAGTGGCTACCGCGGCTCGGTGGTCTAGTGGATAACGGCTTTGGTGTTTGAAGCAATCGGCCCCGAGTTCGAGTCCTAGCGGGAACAGCAACACTCACTGAGAGGCAAGTACGTCCAGCCGACGAATTTCAGTTAGAACGAGACGTGCGTCCTGGACTCCACTGCTAGCCACTATCCATTATTAAGAAGCACTGATAGTTTAAAGCTTTAGGCAACATCTCGAATAATATACTACTTGCTTTTCAGCTTGCTTTGTTTAGATTTTATTTTGTAGACTAGCCTTTTATACTTGTTGATTCAGTCTTGTCTTACCAACAATTTATGTGTCGACTTGAACCAATCTACTTTTCTTTCCTGATAAATAACGCCTAAAAGCAGTTTTTGGCTAACAGATGAAAGGCAAAAAATAATGCTCAAATCACTTTATGATAAAGGAAAATGTTTCGTTGTATATGTTAATCCTAGCATCTGTCGTTTAGGGAAATAGGAGAAGATGGAGTTTATCTGAAACAATATGATGTATTTTGTGCAATACACTTCTAACAATCTGATCACACATATATATATATACAATGATCAAGAAATTTTTATATGAAAGGGTAGAGTAAGGTGAACATAAACATTTGAAATGTTTCACATGTTTAACGTTTATGTTTTATATTTGTTTAGACTTTGTTTATCCACTTACTTTGTCCTTCAGTATTAGGTAACTTTCGTTTTTCCAAGTAGGCTTTTGACCCACTGTGACTATCAGTGTCTACATTTTCATGCTGCTTTCTTGATTCTTATCATCATTATCATCGATATTGCAAGTGCTTTAGTCAACATTATCATTTTTATTATTTGTACTATTATCATCATTGTAATTTTTAAAACATTTATCGCATTAACCGACAAATCTACATGATAGGTTAAACTTTAGCTATTTACTCTAGTAAAGCAGCATCGAAAACCGTATTGTTCGCTTATATGTCTTGTTCTAATTTGAGTGATAGGAACTGTTAAAATATTATTCCAAAAAAACTTTTCACAATGATCTTATGTCTAATTGAAGCTTTAATAAAGATGACAATAAGTGATTGTTTGACAATTATCTAGCATTTTCATACAAGTACAGAAAACAACACATTCTCTACAACATCAGTAAATACACACACACACACACACACACACACACACACACACTTTGAGTGCCCTGCATTTATAATGGGTGATGGTTGAACGTGAAATGATAGTCCGCGCCGCGGCGGGGTTCGAACGAGTGACCAACGCATACCGGCCCGATGTTGTACAAACAGAGATATGAGGTCCGACTGCTGACCAGATTTCTCTTCCACTTCCATCACCACGGGCTTTCGCCCGAATATCATGTGAATTCGTGATGCGTTACTTTAGCTTGGTCATATTCACACCGGCTGTATAGACATGCCCTCCAATTTTACATGAAAAATGACAAAAAGAAATATGAATATTTAATGTTTGACTATAATAACGCACTGTGAACAACTATCCATCTAACCACCGCCAATGTACCAACATACACCAAACATTTATCGTTAATAAAAATCCGGATATTCAGTTGAAGAAACTGTTATTCACACGAAGAAATATTCAGAAATTTCATGATTTGCTTTTATAAAAACACTTTCAGATTAGACAAGATAAACATCATTATCAGCAAAATCTTAAAGTGTATAAAACCAGATTTATTACTATTATTATCATAACAAAAACAAGTTAAGACAACGGCACCAAGAAATGTGCCTCACAAAATAACATAACATTATGAAGACATGAACCATGGGAAGTAGATGAGTAAGAAAGAACAATAAGAATAGCATGATTAGAAGGACAGTCCGGTGTCAGATTGAGGTGTTTATTGCAATATAACTTGGATTCAGTGACATGAGCACAATATATTTGCCAGATAAAAATAGCGTGACACTAATCTGACTCCCGGTATCATGATCTGCCTATCCAAGTAGTCCTATCTCTTTTAACAATATATACTTGTCACTGGTCTCGATTTTAATAGAGTTCCCATCGGTTTTGGACCAAAAAGGTTGTTCCGTTGGGGTGTTCACTTGAGGCGTATTCTTGTAGGTTGTTATTAGGTCCCTTATTTTCCTTCAATGGCTACATCTCAACAGATCAAGTTGTCTAAGGCGTAATGCGTATTTTTCGACTGTTATTTCGACAACTGACCTTGTCACCCTTCTCTTCACCTCGTGTTTGTGCCTCATTATTACCACTACTGTTATTGTTATTATCATTATTATTGTTAGAACAAAAACATGGTAAGACGAAGGCACCAAGAAATGTACCTCACAAAATAACATAACTTTATGAAGACATGAACCATGGGAAGTAGATGAGTAAGAAAGAAGAACAATAAGAATAGTATGATTAGAAGGACAGTCCGGTAAGATATATTCAAAACAAAACATTCATTACTTTTCAATAACAGAAGATAGAAGGAAGCAACTGCATGACCATCACCGGTTTCCATTCTGAGCTACACCTGATAACGCCTCAACCCACTGAGTCGCGTGATCTCTCAAATCCCACTCAGGAAGCCGTGATGCATCAACAGATGCTAACCCGATACAACTATCCTTCATTCCACAGCCTCACGTCATACACTGACCACCCCTCCGCTCCTTCCATCTAGTCCCAGGCCCAGAGACAAACGATGAACGGTATGGAAGCCGTTGGGGTGACATGTGTAAGACATCTCCAAGCCACTGCAGCCGGTGTTTCCAGATGACTGCACTTATTGAATGGCGATCTCCATCATCTCCAAACACGCACTGTCATACCTCAGAATTACTTATATGGTGTTGTCACGGGATACGAGCAACCCTACAGGGACAACGATGATCGAACACACAGAGTCATTGCACAATCTCGGCTTAAAGAGGCCAGATTTCACAAGCGTAGAGCAGAACTGTTCACATTGAAGCGTTGTAAACCTGACCTTTTGTGGTCAGACTGAAGTCGCGACGGCGCCAGAAGTGACCCAGATTGACGCATGCTACTCTGGCTTTCGATATGTGTTTGGAAACTTCACCACTCATACCTCCACCAGCACTCACACAACTACCCAGATTCACGAACTTTCCGACTACTTCCAACGGGTCACCACAGAGAATTAGCGCAGGCAGAGGCTCCTGTCGAACCTGCGAAACTACCCTGAATGTACCAATTACCATTTTCTCAAATATATCTGGGCGGATAGCTGGGAATGTATTCCATATTCAATAAACCTTCAGTTCTCACATCTAAAGTACCCACAATTCAAAAAGGAACTCTTTACAAATGTTACCGCACAGGAAAAGATAGAAACCATCAACACATTTAACACACCAGGCATCGTTTGACAGCCAAACAGGTATAATTTTTCAACGTCCAATTATTCCTTCCATCTTGGGTTCCCAGTGAAACATAGAGATTTAGTGGCATGTCAACATTCCGCTCTGTTCTCTACAGTCTTTGCCACCTGGCTCCACGACTACCCACAAGCTCTCATCTCTTCCTCACACCATCTCCTCCATGTCACCCTCGGACGACCAACTTGTCGTTTCCCATCTGGGTTCCACTCGAGGGCCTGAACTGGCACGTGATGTCCCCGAATGGTCTTCTCAGTGCATGCCCAATCCATCTCCACTTCCTTCTGCATATTTGTTGAGCGATAGGTTCTTGGTTAGTTCGTGGCCAACCAGCCAGAGTTCTTTGTTGCTTATTCTTACTATTCTCGCCATCTGAGCTGGAGTAACGAGCCAGTGTAGGCAGTTGTTGATGAATATCTGTAGTTTGTTGCAAATGCTTTTCGTAACACGCCAAGTCTCCCAACCATCACATACAAGCACTGACTTGACTGACTTAGTGTTGAAAATCGGGATCTTGTTCTTTATACTGAGTGCAGTGCAGTAGATCTCCACACTGGTTTCAGGTTAATGAACGCCTATCTTGCTTTTCCTATGCTGGCTGGCTTTGACGTCCTCATCTGTGCCGCCTGTGATTGAAACGATGCTGCCTAGATAGGTGTAGGTGAAAGAGACTACTTCTTTTGGGTTTCTCCTATTCACGGTGATCGGCGCTTGACGTTGACATTGTTGTTGGTCGGGTATCTTCATCATCTCTGTCTTCTCTACGTTCACTTGAAGTCCTGTCTTCGCTGCTCTACCTCCTCTGTCAACTTGTTGTTTTTGGCCTGTAGATCTTCGAGTTTGTGCCACAAGACATTAGACATAAATCATCATCGTTGGCGAAATCCAAATCTCCTAGACTCTTTTCATCGGTCAGACAGCGTATGCCCATATTCTCACAGCTCCTCACAGTTTGTTGCATGATCCAGTCCAGTCGAGTCGACCACAATCAGGAAGATCATTGGTGATAGTATGCGGCAACCTTTTCCTACTCCTGTCTTCACTTCAAAGGCGTCACTGAGCTGTCCATTGTGAATCAGATAGTACTCTGTTTATTTGATATAATGTTGTCAGGTCTCTCCTACCTGCAGCCTGTTCTCCTTCGCTCACCAATGTGTCGTAGAAGTGTCTCTTGTCTTTCCGCGCACTCTTCTTCACTTCTTTGTCCAGTGTTTTATACGTTGTACTCAGTTCCTCTCTTCGTTGTTCCTCCCTGCACTCCACTGTACTGCACTGGTTCATCTTCTGCTTCACCATCCTCCTCTCCTCTATCAGCTTCCATATGTCCGTCGAGATCCATTCCTTGTCTTGCTTCTTCTTCTTCTTCTTCCTTCCTAATACAGTCATGCAGGCATCTTTCCACGTCTCTTTCAAAGAATTCCAGTGTTCTTCCACACAGGTTTCCACAGCGATGTTGCCTAATGTCTCCCATTCTTTCCTGATGACTGATGTGAAGATGTGGTTTGTAGTCTCGTCCTTCAGTTACTTTTCTGGGTGTTCAACTTGAACTCTGGTCTATCATCAGCTTCTTTGGAGGCTTTCAACTTGATTTTGAGGGTTCCTTGCACTAGACAGTGAATGGTCTGAACCTACATCTGCTCCCCTTCTTTATCTGATCTTGTGTCCACTAGGCTGGCTGCGTCTCCACTTTCTTCATATTGAGATGAAGTCAATCTGATTTTTAGTGTAGTGTAGTGTGTCCATCTGGTGAAATCAAATACATGTCGTTTTGTGAATATCCTTGTATTTGTACACACTGCCTCCAATCACCAAATCGTTGAATGCTCAGAAGTCTGCAAACAGTTCTCCAGTTCTCTCGTTCATTTCACAAACGAGTGCCTCTCGACCCATGATCACTTCTCTTCCTGTGTTGTCCGCTCCCAGTTTGGCATTCATGTCACCCCACCCATTAGAATTTCGATGTCGCCAACTCGGATAGGGTCTTGTCCAGTAGTGATTGCAGTTGTCTGTAGAATTCCTCCTTCTTCTTTTGATCTGCATTATTTGTAGGTGCGCAGCCCAGTATATTGTATGACTGTGATTTTCCTTCCTTTTGATTTGAATCTTGTTGTCATGATCCTGCAGGAGGAGATTGGTTCCCACTGCATGACAGTCCTCGATGCTCTTCGAGGGGACATCATGATAGCCACTCCAAAACTCGGTGTGCTCGTGGTTGTCGTCTGGGTGACAATATCGGAGTAGGTTATTGACTCTCCAGTTGACAGTTTGGAGAGTCCACTTCCATTCCATCTGCTTTCGCAGATTCCTAGCACTTCTATGCCTTATTTTCTCATATCTTTTGCAATCTGGGTAGCCTTGTTAGCCAGCTTCAAACATTGTGCAGACATTCCATGTCCTCATTCTTCCTTTCACTTTCATCGAGAGAAGCAGAGACACATCGGCCAATTGGCTTCCCGAAGGCTTTCACCAACTGGTGTGATTTCGTCTCTCCGAATCCAGCGAGGAATAAGTTTAATTTAATTTTTTATATTTTCTTTGTGCTTTAAAGTTTCTTTAGCGATTGAATTGGTTTTATGGGTTAGGGTTGCTTGCCCTATGCCCAACCTTCCCTTTTTATCTGGGTTTAGGACAGGCTGGTAAATAGTCAACTAGTTACCTGGGCATGGCTTTTTCAACGTATACCCCCCTCCATTCAAGGGAAAATAGGACATTAAGTAATGAGATGGTGCTGTCTCGACAACAAGTGACACTTAATTATGCAATATTTTAGGAGTATCACGATAGTGGGTAAAATCAGGAGACTGCACTGTGTAAAGACCATCCCAAGAAAAATGGTAAAAGGAGGTGAATTCACACATAGATTAGTTCCGCAATCCTGTACTAATCGAATATGTATACTATGTATCGAATGTGTATAAGATGCCTGATTGAAAAGATTACTGTTCCTAGTTGCCAGTTTTCAAGAGAACACATTGCTGCATTATTGAAGACAGCTTCTATCCCGAACAGTATCACATATGTACAGTGATGAGTTTGTGCTATGACCTAACAGTCTACTAGCCATACGAGCCTAGCAGACTACGAACGACATGGACTTAACGCACAAACGAATCGACTCTTATGCAAATCAGAACGTCAACCACCACAACAACAATACCACTGAAGCGCGATCACGAGAAGAGGAGACAAACCGTTGACAGAGAGTTTTTACTGTATCAAGAACATTAGCCAATACAGTTGACGGTACTGAATATATACATTTCTTAATGACAACACTAAATCTATATATCGGTAAAAATAGTTAACAACCAATGAGAGTCCAACCTTGAGAGCAGAAGGAAGAAAAACTAGTGACGGTTTGAAAACAGCCATGTAGGTTATTTTAAGGTCATAGGGAAAACAGCAATCAAAAGCTTTGCAAAATCAGGGCTATGCAGCAGTTTGTTAAACGTCTTTCGCTCACTCAATGTGTTTCGGTTAGGATTCTTTAACACTAACCAAGTTATGCCCAGCTAAATGCGCTTACTGGTGAGAATATATTTTTCAGATCTTGTAAACTCGTCTATCTTTGTTTATGTTATCAACATTGTAAAAATTATCTATCGAACTGCGAAGTTATGCGTTGCTTATAACCAACACCCGTAAAGCGAAACTGAGAGACTGGAATACCAATTACAGATTTTTATTGCATTAATTCCAGCCTTCTCTTTTTAGGCGTAGACATCGTTAGTTGAGAGCAGTATATGAATATGTCGGATAGAAAGGTAGTTAACTTCATCCCCATCCACTTACTTCGGCATGAGCAACAGGGTAGCATCATAGGCCTCCTCATACAATAAGTGTGCGTCATAGTCTACTCAGAATCGCGTCAAATCAACTTAATACTATGCGAATCACGTCTTTATACAATTTGGAAATCAAGTTAATAAAATCAAACTAACATAAATATCATGTAATTATCAAATAATACACACCGGTTTTATAACTCAAGTGATCCGGTGTTCGAACGGGGAATGGTGAAGTTTGATTTTTATCATCATACAGTTGTGAACCAGCAAAATCTGTTACTGGTGCTAGATGACTGAACTGACCAAGCCAAGGTAAACCGGTGTAATCTAGAAAAAGGAGAAATGAAAGCAAATATATTGAGTCCGAATAAAAACTTCGATTACGCAAAGTAAGTGGAAATTTCTCTGTTAGACAAGTAATCAAGCATTGATCTCGCTCTGATGAAGCGCGCGGAGGGAGGGACAACACCTGAATCCAAGTCCTATTGATTAAGATCCCAAGGGGTTAACCACCAGCCTCCTGTTATGAACAAATCCATTGTTCCCAGGTTACAGCTGTCTTTTCCTCTCTCTCAAAATACTCTTTGCTGATTTTAGCTTTGTTTTTACAGCTACCCTTTCTCAATTTATGCATTGCATTCCTATGGGTATATCTTTAAGCAACAGTTCTCAACAATGACGATTGAGTCAATAAAGTATTCCATTCAGTGGATGTTTTCGTCACCTGTTGGTCATAGGAGGAGCTGGATTGAAGGTGGTTCGGTTCTTCAATGCTAAAAAAATTAACTCTTGAATTACCAAGTAACTCATACCACTTGACAACAAAACTGGTCACAGCTACAAATCACTCCCCTCGCAAAGAAAAGTTCAGTGAGTGTTACAGTGATAGTTAAATCTTAGAAAAATGTTAACTACCACAAAGATCCATTCATCTTCACTGTAAAATATGTCTGCCAGTACCAGTGTGACAGTAGTTGAAACTAATGGAAACTGTATTGTACTATTTCAATGACAATCTAAACGCCAACCAATGTCATTTCCAAGACTTTCAATACTTAGTTCTCCTGCTTTGAAGATATTTTTTAGAGTTGATTTCACCGTTCACGATGATGGTTGCTAAATACAATTATCATCTTTGAAATTTGATCCAACTGGACTTGAAAATTATTTCTGACTTTGACTGCAAGTGACTGAAATCACCGAGAGACTATAAATACGATTAACCAACTGCTTTGGATACCATCTCTCATTGTGTTCAGAGTAAGATAATGGTGCATGGAGTTAGTGGTAAACGAATGGAATAACCTTAATATTATGCGAAAACCTTCTCATATAAACAATTTCCAACCATAATGTTTTGGAAAAAAAGGGAACATAACTGCTGAATTGACCAGAACAAGAGTTGCAACAACACTAATATTTATCATGAAAGACGAGATCGATATGTTCTATATGTATGCAAAGACGATTTCTCAGTATGGGCGACTGAATTCGGTCCTGAACGTTGTCAATATGGGATTTCAGTCTATAGGGTATCTGGTTGGAGTACATATTTACGTATTTTAGACACAACCTCCCGAACATTTATTCGCAATTTAGCATACACAGCACCTCTATCTATGGCTCCAACGACATCGAGTCCGGTCGGAAAAAACCAATCCATATTACCTTGCTTAAACCTTTTTCATCTCTCCGGACAGTTTCTTCGCCAATGCCTTGATTTTCCCCCATGCGAAGCATTTACTCTCTCTGATGATATTCATTTGAAGTTTAGCCACCTCCTCCTGAAGGTCATCTATTTTAAAAAGTTATCTACTACACTACAGCGACTGTTGTACCCATCAACTGTCTGGTCGCCTTCGTCAGCTCACTCATATCCATGGGTTGGGCTGCGTTCATTAGTAGTAGCTGTTGGGCGATGACATTCAGGACACTTTCGGTGACCTTTAGCGCTAGTAACTATGCCTAGGAGTTCTCATCCAAAGTAGGAAGTGCTCGTCGAAGTTGCTTTGTCAACTTCACAGCCAATATCAGAGGATCTTCGTCGATCCTAAGTTTCGTGCTCCGAAACTGTTGTATCGTCAACTCCCTGTCCACTGGGCTATCAAACTCCACCTCCAGTCGTTACACTATTCTCCTTCAAATCTCCTTCCCATTCACGCGTTCCACCCCGTTATATGCCGCTTTCGTTCGACCCAAGCACCACGACCTTCGCCCCTGGTTCCCGGACACTCACTAACTCCACGACCGACTCGAAATCCTTGAGGAAGACATTGATGTCTCCATCCTCGAATACTGCAAGCTACAGAATCTTCATCATGTCCAGAGGCAGCGACACTAATTGTAGGAAACGAGAAGGATCAGATGCAGGAAAAAGAATGTTGATTACGACATTTTTTATATTACTCATGAAATAATGTACACTTTCCACCAAAAACGTCATTTGCACACTGTGCATCGTTTCCTCTTCTGCTTCTATCTTGATTTACGCTTAATACGCGCATATTGTCTCTTGCATTTCTCTGTGCAGAATATTTACTCACCACTCGTAATTGCCTATAACTTCTGCCGACCTCTCAACACATACTACTTATATCCATCTTACCAGTAGTATTCACTACTCTTGTCCTCAGTATAACTTCCCGAGAGACGAAACTATCCGATTTGTAATGCTCAATATACATTGCAACCGCTTGCATGCACCTTATCTGTCAATTGGTTGGTCTCATTTGCGATTAGAAGTGGTGTGTGTGTGTGTGTGTGTGTGTGTGTGTGTGTGTGTGTGTGTGTGTGTGTGTGTGTGTGTGTGTGTGTGTGTGTGTGTGTGTGACTAAAGCGATCAAATCGGCTCACCTGTATATAAAAAATTCACTCAATGAGTATCACTGAAGCACTTGGCGATGCTGTGTAACGGTTCAATTTACCACATTTCAGATCAACACATCAAGAAACAAGGGAACAAAATGAAAGATAGAGAAGTCTACGTGGGAATGTGGAAATGCAAGCAAAAGTTATGAGAGGATAACGCTGTAGTAAAACATAGACAGCTATAAAAAAAAAAACAAACCTCGTTCAAACACTGATAACACTAGAATTGATTGTTTCAAGTCAATATGATGAAGGTAACCATGAGTCCAAAGAAGACGATTCTTTGCATTTTTAGCATTTTGTAACGGTTGTCGTTTCTGTTGTTGCTGCTGTTTATGATGATTGTTGTTTTTGTTGTGATGAGGATGATAACGATGTTCAGATGTTGAAGTTGAATGTGAATCTGGTTCCTGAATAGTGCTTGAATTAAGGGAGTCTGCTGTTTGATGTGTTGTTATCATATAGATATTACACATTGCAGCGGTCTTAGTACTTTGTAAGGCACCCAAAAGTAAACAAAGGAAAGCTGGTTCAACTGGGTCTATAAAAAATTATTATTACTATTATTATTATATAAACAGTGATTGACAACAAGTTAAAATCTGGTATGAAAATAAACCGAAATGAGGTGGCCTCAGCAACCATATGTACGTTCATTTGAACGTAAACCATTAAACAATGATACTAAATGAGAATATACTCAACCTGTGCACGAATTGAGCAATTTAAATCCATATGTTATTATTGTGTCAGATACAAAGCCCATTAGTATTTCAATCAGTTGATTTGTTCACATCAACAACAACAAAGAAGTGACAATAAGAAAATCTGTTCAAAATATTCTATAGCCAATAGATTTATAGTCAAATTGACTGTTGAAGAGAGAATTTCCTTTTTGATATAAAGAGTTTACCGGCGTGTTTTAGCACACCGTACAAATATATCATCGGCATGAGAGTGGACCCGTAACCAGCACATTTCGCATGGGGAAACAGGCCGGTCATCTCAGCTTGGATATCTGGCAATGATCCTTCCACAGGTTCACCTACGGAAACGTTGTTACGACTTCTAATTCCTCTAAATAGTTAAACCAGGTAATTTTTACAGCATCAGTCGAGCGGTGAGCCACTTCAACGACTTCACTAAACAATTCGATCAGTAGTAGCGATAGGTGGGGTGTAGTCAGCGCAAGCTTATGACTTGCACTTACCAAGAATTCCTCGTTCACGAGGACTAATTCCAAGAACTGATCCCAGTCACGACAGTGATGCCCAACACTTTGAACCAGGTTTCCAAACTCGCTGGTACCGTCACTGTAGCGTATGTGTGGCTCCGGACATTTAAGAGTCTCACAGACCTGTTATTGCTTAATTTCGTACAACTTAAGTGTGTCAACTTTCCCTCTAAGAAGTAAATGGCACGGTACCCGGCGAAAAACGACTACACCACTTCATAAAGAAGCAACAGAAGTCGAACCCTGAACAAGCGCAGCGGACCAGTCTCATTTATTAACCGAATTAACCAGACAAATCGCTCCATCAACTAAAAACGGTCAAAATATGTTCAAAATATTTTGTAGCCAACAGATTTAGTCAAAATGAGCGTTAAAGAGAGACAGAAAAGTAAATCGTATAACTCAAAGAAATGATACTCTTAAAGATTACCTGTTCCACTATTACTAGTCACAGTGAATCGTCCATTCACAGGGGCATTATTCAAATCACTGAGGTTGAGAAAACCAAAAATCTCCACATACAACGAATCGACAATTATGCCGTTAAATCTGTGAAATATAGCGAAACTGAATACACATTACAATTAACTAAAGTCAATACATACATTACTAAGTAATTCTAATTAAAACAGTATTATTCTATGGTAGGTGGCATCATTCAACGATCACAATTTCTTTGCGCCAGTTTACCTACATTGACATAATCATAGCGTACAAGTGATTGTTTGCTGTAAGTTAATAGTTGGCTGGATAACTAACACAGAATGGCAGAAGTACACTCAAGAATTTCAGTAATGAACAACAAACACACAGACTACCTATTATATGAGGACTATACCAAACTGCAATCTTTTTTGTTCTATTGAAAGTAGATATTAGGAAATTACAAGTTTTCCATCACAAGTGTCTACATAGAAATGCTCACACAGGGTGGAATTACTGCGTGAGCAGTGGTGACCTATGGTGTAGGATACTGGATGAAGAAGGTAAGTCAGTCGAAACGGTTGTTAACTTTCAGTGGTCGAAGTGGTTTGGACATGTGTTGCACATGCCTCGTCACAACCACGTACATCGATGTGCAATGAATGTTAGCCAAAGTTGGATTGAATTTAAAGAAAACAAAGTATGGCCAGACGAGATGGTAAGAGTGCATGAACCCCCTGACTATTGTTCTGAGTCACAGAGGGAGACCTAGAATGACTGGAACCAATGTTTGGAGACTCTTAGTGATATAACTGGAAACTGGTCACAACAGTACACAAGTATACACTCTTTTTCATCTCTGAAGTCTTGAAAGTTCTCGTCAGCCCTCATCAATTTATTCTCTTACCTTTCCCTTGCATGTTGTTACGAGTTGTGACAAATTGAACCCATGAGCTTCCGTGCCAGGTCATACACGTTCATTAGTCTTTTTCCCACTATCAGACAGGCACCCAAGTATAATAAAAGGCAACTTCTGAAGAACTAACTGTTATCTGTCACTAATACTTATCACAGAATAATCCAAAACAAACATCTACACATATGTACAAGGGGAGCATATTGCAAGAAAGATAAATCAGGGAAGAATAAAATGGGACTGTACGATAATAAAAAGCTGATCTAATAGGAATGACTGTAGATCATTCACGCCAATCACCAGAGATTGCTAGACAGAAAAGAATTGTTTCCAATATTAGGAACCAACCTAGCCAGCGGCGTACCCATATTATTTCAGCTCAGAGATAGATAAAGCAACATATAGCCTGACATAAAAGTGCATTAGTTTAAACTGCCATACTATTTACAGTAGCATGCTGAGAAAAGGTGGGCAAACGTCAAACCTAAGCAGATGGAGCTCGATTCGAACGCCAGGCCCATCGCTTAGAGATAGTGTACATTGACAAATGACTTACGGTTTCACATCTCCACTACGAGTACCACACTAGACCGAAACAGCTACCAACGAAAAGTCCTAACTATTTACGCAATACTATGGCGTTAACAATACACTTTATTGATGGAAATTAAACTGTGAATTCAAGGATCTCAGTAGATTGAATAGGTATCCTACACTACAACTGGGTTTGAATACTAAATAATTGATATATATATATATATATATATATATATATATATATATATATATATATATATATATATATATATATATATATATATGAATAGAAAAGCATAAAAGTAACACCTACCTACCCAGTAGAAGAATGAACTCCTGGAGATGATATCAATGTAACTGTACTTTGAAGACGTCCACAATTAATGACTGCATTTTGAGTAATTTGATGTATTGAAGACAGTTGAATAACACGTTCAGCCAAACTATCTACATATGATTCAACAGTATATGCTATAATAATAAAAATGTGACTAGAATAAAGAATGACAAAGAAACTTCTACACCTTTAGGACTTATAATACATTTATTGGCTTCTAGAATTGTTGATTTCAATTGAAAGCGATTGTACAACTCGATCAAATCACTAGAAAGCTGAAAAAGAAATCAAGAATTCCCTTTTTTACAATATAGTATTAGTAGTACAAAGATACTGCTTCAAGATGGATTCAGCAGAGTTTCAGATAGAATGTCTGGTAAGTTTAGAACGATGACTGTTAGACGCCGACCAGAGAGTGACACAAATCAAAATATTCCGAAAAAAATCATTCAGCTTAATTATCTACCCGGGGTATTGTAAATAAGGATTATAAGCAAAATAAATGATGATTAATGCCATCAACTGTGGCGCTTCCGTCGAAAAGAAGAGGGAAAGACGCCAAATCAACAACAAGGAAGAATCAACAAGAATCAGCTCTAAGCGATCTGCAAATGATGTACAGACGAAATTGGAAGCTTGATCCTCGGACGTGCACACCAGCCGAATGACTAACACCAGTTTCTACACAAATCAATCACAGATTAAAACAGTCATTTGAGAATGCATGGGACCTAGAGTACGCAGATAATATACTCCTGTTAAGTGAAGACGCTGACAAGTTGAAAACTTTCCTGGATACCTTGAGAGATAGTTTGAGAACATTCGCGATACGTTTCTCATCACCTAAATGCTAAATGCTGTTCCAGGATCGGTCTTCAACGGTAATCCAGCCTAACAATAGAGAGCGAAGTGGTTGAGCGCGTTGAACACTTCACTCACCCGGGAAGTCGGATCAGCCCTGGTGCACTGGTCAGATGCCGAAGAAATCTCTGTACCTATACATAAGGCTCAGTTGGCTTTTGCCAACTTAAGCCATCTATGCCGCCGCCGTGATATCCAATTGTCTATTAAGAGTCGAGTGTACTGTGCTGCAGTCCGCTCTGTTATACTCTATAGCTGTGAAACGTGGCTATCAAAGGTAGAAGACATGAGAAGGCTAGAGGTGTCTGACCACCGTTGTCTACGCAGTATAGGCCGTATACCGTGATGTCACCATGTAAGTAACGCAGAAGTCAGGTGTAGAGTTTTAAGCAGGAGAGGTAAGTTAGTTGATGTTGTTGCGAACCTTCATCGCCTCAGATGGCTGGGACATGTGTTACACATGTCTAGTCATCGTCTGCCTCGGCGAGAAATGTTGGTCGAAGTAGGTTCAGACTGGGAAAAGGCTCGAGGCAGCCACACTAAAACATGACATCAATGCATAAAGTCGTTAACCGTTTGTTTGAGCCATGTAGAGCGGTGCAGACTAGCTGGTTGGGGTCCATGGAACAAGAGAGACCAGTTTTTGGAGACTGTGATATTGCTCACAAGCGATATGATTAGCGCAGATGTTAACACACATTATCCTCATCTTAACCGCTGTACTTAATCTTGTCATTTTCTCATTTTTCCTTCCTTTCTTCTACTTCTTTCGATCTATTTTTCTTTCCTTCTTCATCTTCTATTTGATTGTCTTGTTACTTGGTGTGGCGATATGAGATAGAGCAACTTGTACCGTTACACAGCAATGCCTGGTCCAATGTTGATCTTGATGATGAGAATCACCCCACGTCGACTACAGTCTCCTACGATAAGATCAATTCCCATAGAGTAATGTACAAAGTGCCATGAAAAACCTTCTTCTGCGTTTCATCAATTACTGTCACTGCTTCTAGACGTGATGAAGATTCCATGGCCAGCAGTGATCGAGGATGGGGATATCAATGTCTTCCTCAAGGATTTCGATTCAGACTATTATTTATCTAACGACATCTAAATTCCGAAATATATTCGTGATAACCAGCATAATGAAAGCCAGTTGAATACGTTACCGTGGAGAAAACCAAACTAAAGTATACTGATGATCAATAACTACTGGAGAATGACAAACTTCATGAGTGCATCACGTTCTAGGTGCTTACTGAGCTCCAGGAGTTATTTTCCAACATGATGACTAGGTAGAAAAGACAGTCACAACTCAAATAGCCCTGCAATAATGTTTCTTTCGACTACAATATTCGAAAAGACAGGTGTGGATCTTGAAAGGAATTCAGTACACTTGAGGAAGACATATCTTGTTAAGGAAACGTTTAAAAGGCCGAAATCTAAGCGTAGAGCTTTCTATCAATCACCTTCCAACCCCAATATCAAAAACAGCACAATTTTAAATTTTAAAAAAAAAATTTGAGAAATCCTACCTGACTATCATTTAAACTAATGAAGAGAATCGACACACTACCAAATACACTTTCAGGGAACTCTTCTGGCCAGCTAATAGATGAAAGTGTGAAATACGATGATGATCCTCCGTCCGTAAACACCAAAACCTAATGCGCAAAAGAAACCAATAATCAAATAGTATACAAATATTCACCAAACACAATTACAAAGAATTATTAGTATTATAAGCTACTAGAATTCCTAGTGGAACACAGAGCTTAAGTAGCACGTCCACGTTCCACTCTGTTCTCTACAGTCTTTGCCACCTGGCTCCACGACTACCCACAAGCTCTCATCTCTTCCTCACACCATCTCCTCCATGTCACCCTCGGACGACCAACTTGTCGTTTCCCATCTGGGTTCCACTCGAGGGCCTGAACTGGCACGTGATGTCCCCGAATGGTCTTCTCAGTGCATGCCCAATCCATCTCCACTTCCTTCTGCATATTTGTTGAGCGATAGGTTCTTGGTTAGTTCGTGGCCAACCAGCCAGAGTTCTTTGTTGCTTATTCTTACTATTCTCGCCATCTGAGCTGGAGTAACGAGCCAGTGTAGGCAGTTGTTGATGAATATCTGTAGTTTGTTGCAAATGCTTTTCGTAACACGCCAAGTCTCCCAACCATCACATACAAGCACTGACTTGACTGACTTAGTGTTGAAAATCGGGATCTTGTTCTTTATACTGAGTGCAGTGCAGTAGATCTCCACACTGGTTTCAGGTTAATGAACGCCTATCTTGCTTTTCCTATGCTGGCTGGCTTTGACGTCCTCATCTGTGCCGCCTGTGATTGAAACGATGCTGCCTAGATAGGTGTAGGTGAAAGAGACTACTTCTTTTGGGTTTCTCCTATTCACGGTGATCGGCGCTTGACGTTGACATTGTTGTTGGTCGGGTATCTTCATCATCTCTGTCTTCTCTACGTTCACTTGAAGTCCTGTCTTCGCTGCTCTACCTCCTCTGTCAACTTGTTGTTTTTGGCCTGTAGATCTTCGAGTTTGTGCCACAAGACATTAGACATAAATCATCATCGTTGGCGAAATCCAAATCTCCTAGACTCTTTTCATCGGTCAGACAGCGTATGCCCATATTCTCACAGCTCCTCACAGTTTGTTGCATGATCCAGTCCAGTCGAGTCGACCACAATCAGGAAGATCATTGGTGATAGTATGCGGCAACCTTTTCCTACTCCTGTCTTCACTTCAAAGGCGTCACTGAGCTGTCCATTGTGAATCAGATAGTACTCTGTTTATTTGATATAATGTTGTCAGGTCTCTCCTACCTGCAGCCTGTTCTCCTTCGCTCACCAATGTGTCGTAGAAGTGTCTCTTGTCTTTCCGCGCACTCTTCTTCACTTCTTTGTCCAGTGTTTTATACGTTGTACTCAGTTCCTCTCTTCGTTGTTCCTCCCTGCACTCCACTGTACTGCACTGGTTCATCTTCTGCTTCACCATCCTCCTCTCCTCTATCAGCTTCCATATGTCCGTCGAGATCCATTCCTTGTCTTGCTTCTTCTTCTTCTTCTTCCTTCCTAATACAGTCATGCAGGCATCTTTCCACGTCTCTTTCAAAGAATTCCAGTGTTCTTCCACACAGGTTTCCACAGCGATGTTGCCTAATGTCTCCCATTCTTTCCTGATGACTGATGTGAAGATGTGGTTTGTAGTCTCGTCCTTCAGTTACTTTTCTGGGTGTTCAACTTGAACTCTGGTCTATCATCAGCTTCTTTGGAGGCTTTCAACTTGATTTTGAGGGTTCCTTGCACTAGACAGTGAATGGTCTGAACCTACATCTGCTCCCCTTCTTTATCTGATCTTGTGTCCACTAGGCTGGCTGCGTCTCCACTTTCTTCATATTGAGATGAAGTCAATCTGATTTTTAGTGTAGTGTAGTGTGTCCATCTGGTGAAATCAAATACATGTCGTTTTGTGAATATCCTTGTATTTGTACACACTGCCTCCAATCACCAAATCGTTGAATGCTCAGAAGTCTGCAAACAGTTCTCCAGTTCTCTCGTTCATTTCACAAACGAGTGCCTCTCGACCCATGATCACTTCTCTTCCTGTGTTGTCCGCTCCCAGTTTGGCATTCATGTCACCCCACCCATTAGAATTTCGATGTCGCCAACTCGGATAGGGTCTTGTCCAGTAGTGATTGCAGTTGTCTGTAGAATTCCTCCTTCTTCTTTTGATCTGCATTATTTGTAGGTGCGCAGCCCAGTATATTGTATGACTGTGATTTTCCTTCCTTTTGATTTGAATCTTGTTGTCATGATCCTGCAGGAGGAGATTGGTTCCCACTGCATGACAGTCCTCGATGCTCTTCGAGGGGACATCATGATAGCCACTCCAAAACTCGGTGTGCTCGTGGTTGTCGTCTGGGTGACAATATCGGAGTAGGTTATTGACTCTCCAGTTGACAGTTTGGAGAGTCCACTTCCATTCCATCTGCTTTCGCAGATTCCTAGCACTTCTATGCCTTATTTTCTCATATCTTTTGCAATCTGGGTAGCCTTGTTAGCCAGCTTCAAACATTGTGCAGACATTCCATGTCCTCATTCTTCCTTTCACTTTCATCGAGAGAAGCAGAGACACATCGGCCAATTGGCTTCCCGAAGGCTTTCACCAACTGGTGTGATTTCGTCTCTCCGAATCCAGCGAGGAATAAGTTTAATTTAATTTTTTATATTTTCTTTGTGCTTTAAAGTTTCTTTAGCGATTGAATTGGTTTTATGGGTTAGGGTTGCTTGCCCTATGCCCAACCTTCCCTTTTTATCTGGGTTTAGGACAGGCTGATAACTAGTGAACTAGTTATGCAGACGAGAGTAATTATAATGAATACTAGATAAAAATATGCTACTAGGTATTGTAGAAGTAGGGTAGGACGCCAGCTAAATAGAATAGCAATAGGTTGGAATTCGACCTATGAGTGGTTAAACTGAGTCTTCTCACTTATCCGTGGAGTCGCTGACTTCTGACTGCAACCAGACGAGAGCGTGTAAACTGTTTGCTTCTGCTCCAGAAGTCAATCAAAACCTATTAATAAAATATTTAGTGGTTATAAGTTTGCAAAATATTTATTTGAAACATATTCGTTGCAGCATGCGAAGGAAAACAAAATCCAGTGAAACGCGTTAGTACAGAGTAAGTTACGCAAGTGGTCTGAAGTATTCACTACAGTCTTATGCGATTATAGATATAATGTAGACTGAACTATTTGTTATCTAACCCCGAAACGAAAGCAAGTGACTATTCCGAAGGGCTTTTAATCTACAAGATAGCGGAGCAACACGAAGTTTTGCATCCACATGGTTGCATATAATCAAAGTAGGCTCCAACGCTATTCTTTCCTCTAGAATCCTGAAGGCGGTGGGGATCACTGGTTTGTTATCGAGATATTTCAACTCCCATGTATGAATCCTCTATACATTTACACCAGGTGGGTGGTAGATACTGGACATTCGTTTCCGCCTAGTTTTTGTGAGGGAAAAATCTCCTCCGTAGAAAAGCTATGAACGTATGACTTTATGAGAGCACTTTTAACAATAGTAGTAAAGAGTTTGCTTCTTTCCAATATATTTCTCACATCATGGTATATGTTAGGGGTGAGGATATCGTCCGAAATCCATCAAAAACTGGTGAGTGTTATATATGTATAATCTTCAGCTGAATTAAAACATTTCTCTAATATGTCTTCTCTTTATTGTGCTTCACTAACTTTACGTTCATCTCGTCAACCTTCGATATCACTGAAGTCTTTCTCGTGTTTTGATTTTTCTTTCTTGTTAAATCCTCTTTGCAGTGCTGTGCAAAGAACGAATTCTTAGTTGTATACCATGTCCTTCCTATGCTACTGGAAGACTGTTAAATGGTTTTAAGACATTTGTAAATTAGCTTAGGGTGAATCTACAAATATACGCAGATTTTTAATTGAGGCAGTGAGCTGCATCTAGTGTATGAGGGTTAATGGGACCAACTATCTGCTCAAACCTAAATAAGTGGACCAGCGTTCAGAGCCGAAATCTACTTGCTGCAAACTGAGAGTCCAGACAAATACATCATTTACGAACTTGCGGTAGTTACCGCACACACTTGTGCAGCCTAACAGATATGCATGGATAAGTGATAGACATCCAGACAAAATTAGCGTAGAACATTGCAAAGAAGTGCCCTACCTCAAGTTGCCACATTTCACAGGATCCCGTTTAATATCGAACATAGAGGCAAGTGGTGACTTGTTATCTTCAACACATGTCCATCCCATCTCGGTGAACGCTTATAACCTCATCATCTTACTTGCTTGTCTCGCCTAGTATTCTTCGTCTAACCTCAACATTCCCCATAATTTATCATCACACGTGAGAAATGCTACGAAGACACCTATGGCTAAACATCTGTCATTTCTTCATACCTACTTTCAGAGGCCGTATCCCACAGATGTATAGTAGGACAGAATGGAATACAGTGTAGTATACTCATATTTCAACAGGAAGCCGGATGTCTCTCCGGTGTCAGAGGTAGTACAACTTGACAAGTGTTAAATGAGCCTTTTGTATGCCAGTTGAGATTTCTCCAGCAACTACCCGATTTGATGCAACTCCAAAAGTAAGCGAAGTGATCAATACGTTCGACTACTTCAACTCCTTTCGCTAAACTAAGAGTAGTCACAAACCAACCATGAAACATCACTGCATACATAGACATTCAATCAAGCTTTACAGAAAAACATGCATACAAATGCAATTGAAAGCTAGTAAATTACCTGAATATTTGACCATGGTCCATAATAAATATAGACTTCTTTTAAAATCCTGATAATAGATGTGGCTGTCGATTCACTGGGAAACAACACTTTATTGGCTCGCTGACTTTCATCAATCTCATTGCACAAAGTGAATGCATCAAGTGAAAGTGTTCCAAGTATTCCTTTGGAAGAAGACGAATGTGTATCACACTAATGATAGGAAGAAACAAGCAAGAGAAAAAAAATACAGCAGTAAACCCTTTAAACACACATTCATAAATGATGTTAATTGTTCAGTGTTCTATAAGCCTCGTTCTGGGACGTCTCATCATCACAAAAGGAGACTTCATTATGAAGTCGCTTAGTCTGATGATGAAACATTTAGAAACAAACCTAAAAGCTTGAAGAACACTAAACAATTGTTGTCCTAATTTGGAGCTAAAACCTCTACTAATAGATATGATATGGTCTATAAGCTTGGATCACAGGTCTCGACACTGCTCCAGCAATAGAGGTTTACGCAACCAGGCAGTAGTAGTACTACCAGTCAGAAGGTAATTGGTGTGGTTTATAGTTTAGTTGGAAAAACTGAGTGACATTTTCCTTTTGAATTCTCAATCTATTGTTTTGTAGTTCGTATATGCGTAAATAAAATCAAACACCTATAAGGTATATTTGAATAGAACATGAGCGAAATGTGAAAAAGAATACATATTCACTTTTTAATGAAGCATGATGACCAATTTTAAGTTAAGTTCCTGTTTGCGGATCGAATTCTGTGTTTATTAATGATTAGAAAAAAAACATGGTAAGACGAAGGCACCAAGAAATGTACCTCACAAAATAACATAACTTTATGAAGACATGAACCATGGGAAGTAGATGAGTAAGAAAGAAGAACAATAAGAATAGTATGATTAGAAGGACAGTCCGGTAAGATATATTCAAAACAAAACATTCATTACTTTTCAATAACAGAAGATAGAAGGAAGCAACTGCATGACCATCACCGGTTTCCATTCTGAGCTACACCTGATAACGCCTCAACCCACTGAGTCGCGTGATCTCTCAAATCCCACTCAGGAAGCCGTGATGCATCAACAGATGCTAACCCGATACAACTATCCTTCATTCCACAGCCTCACGTCATACACTGACCACCCCTCCGCTCCTTCCATCTAGTCCCAGGCCCAGAGACAAACGATGAACGGTATGGAAGCCGTTGGGGTGACATGTGTAAGACATCTCCAAGCCACTGCAGCCGGTGTTTCCAGATGACTGCACTTATTGAATGGCGATCTCCATCATCTCCAAACACGCACTGTCATACCTCAGAATTACTTATATGGTGTTGTCACGGGATACGAGCAACCCTACAGGGACAACGATGATCGAACACACAGAGTCATTGCACAATCTCGGCTTAAAGAGGCCAGATTTCACAAGCGTAGAGCAGAACTGTTCACATTGAAGCGTTGTAAACCTGACCTTTTGTGGTCAGACTGAAGTCGCGACGGCGCCAGAAGTGACCCAGATTGACGCATGCTACTCTGGCTTTCGATATGTGTTTGGAAACTTCACCACTCATACCTCCACCAGCACTCACACAACTACCCAGATTCACGAACTTTCCGACTACTTCCAACGGGTCACCACCGAGAATTAGCGCAGGCACAGGCTCCTGTCAATCTTGCGGAAGTACTTTCCACTTCTATGGAGCGAAAGTACATACCATACTATGTACTAACTACTAACAGTCAAATAAACTGTCGAGCAGTTGACTATGCTTTACTATAAGGTTTTAAAACACAACCATTAAAGATAGGGAACATAAGAAGGCTACAGGTATTCAACCACTGTTACCTTTGTACTATAAGGCCATTTGTCGTGGAACCATCATATTCGTAAGGAAGAGTATTACATACCGAGGTTTGTTAGTTGACGTTATTATAAATCGTCGTCAACAGTAATGAGTGGAATGTATTGTATATGCTTAGTTGCCGTCTCCACGACGTGTAATGTAAGTTAAAGTAGGACTAGGAAGAAAAAAGATTGAAGACGAACAGACTAAGGCATCATTGTATGAAGTCTTAGCCATGTATGGAAATGTAGATTTCTCGGTTGCGGAACAAAGAACTACCGAAATCGATGGTTGGAGACTCCAGGTGCTATGCCTCAGAAGTGCTCTCAATAGCACAGATACGTCAACGCATTATTTTCATCTTATTCGTTATTTCCCTTTTTGAAAAGCTTTCCCTACCCTTTTTCTTCTCTTACAGCTTTCTGTCCTTGAACTATAGAACTTATATTTTTGTCTTGTGTTGTTGCCTTATATGTTGACGTTCCAATGTGAAACATGGTAAGAAGGATCATTCTAGAAGTTAGATCATGTTCACATTAACTGAGTAATTGACATCCATAGCCACCTGAGATCTAAAGATATTTAAGAAAAGAAACTTTTCCTGAGCTGATACTCCCTTCCAATACTCCTACACGGGTACCTTGATGTAAAGAAATAGTGTAAGGCATCCCAACCATAAAACTTACCACCCGTTTATTAAAAATTGAGGTTAAGCTGGATAAATTAAGTACGCGTGCCGAATTGAGTTTACAATGACTCGAGAAAAAGGCTATCATTGTACCTATACTTAAAAGGGGCTCACGTAATATATGTGAAATCGTCGGGTTATTAGGTTGTCACCGGTTCCGTTTAAAATATTAGCTTGAAGAACTTAGCGAAACAAGTAAAGTCTATTTCTGAGGAACACAAAGAGTTTGGTTAAGTTTACATAAACTATTATCAAGTTGTGGCCGAATAGTATGGCAAATATTGGGCACTGGGTAAATGGCTGAAAGACATAGTTTGTAGTTGTGTAACTCAACCTGCTTGAAATGGAATAATCCCAGTGCTGTTTCGCATAGAGCTCTGCAGCCTGAGATTCACCAGAAATAATCAAAACTAAAGTACCGAGGATGTATAAATGAATCCAGAAAGGTATATTTAATTTCCTTATCCAATACCCTTCGTAAAGTCACTGTCAATTTGGAATATGATACTAAAGCATTGAGTGTAACCTCACCTTGTTAACTACTTCACTAGTTACTAGCCGATTCTAAGACCTCGTAAAAAGGGAATGCTGGGCATAGGGATATCAAACCACCCAATAAAACAAATCTAACCGCTATAAAAACTGCTACTGCTGCTGAAGCCCTGTGTTCTATTAGGAACCCAAGGGATAAATAATAATAACAAAACCACTGAGCGTGACTTCACCTAGGTAACTAGTTGACTATTTACCAGCCTGTCCTAAACCCAGATAAAAAGGGAAGGTTGGGCATAGGGCAAGCAACCCTAACCCATAAAACCAATTCAATCGCTAAAGAAACTTTAAAGCACAAAGAAAATATAAAAAATTAAATTAAACTTATTCCTCGCTGGATTCGGAGAGACGAAATCACACCAGTTGGTGAAAGCCTTCGGGAAGCCAATTGGCCGATGTGTCTCTGCTTCTCTCGATGAAAGTGAAAGGAAGAATGAGGACATGGAATGTCTGCACAATGTTTGAAGCTGGCTAACAAGGCTACCCAGATTGCAAAAGATATGAGAAAATAAGGCATAGAAGTGCTAGGAATCTGCGAAAGCAGATGGAATGGAAGTGGACTCTCCAAACTGTCAACTGGAGAGTCAATAACCTACTCCGATATTGTCACCCAGACGACAACCACGAGCACACCGAGTTTTGGAGTGGCTATCATGATGTCCCCTCGAAGAGCATCGAGGACTGTCATGCAGTGGGAACCAATCTCCTCCTGCAGGATCATGACAACAAGATTCAAATCAAAAGGAAGGAAAATCACAGTCATACAATATACTGGGCTGCGCACCTACAAATAATGCAGATCAAAAGAAGAAGGAGGAATTCTACAGACAACTGCAATCACTACTGGACAAGACCCTATCCGAGTTGGCGACATCGAAATTCTAATGGGTGGGGTGACATGAATGCCAAACTGGGAGCGGACAACACAGGAAGAGAAGTGATCATGGGTCGAGAGGCACTCGTTTGTGAAATGAACGAGAGAACTGGAGAACTGTTTGCAGACTTCTGAGCATTCAACGATTTGGTGATTGGAGGCAGTGTGTACAAATACAAGGATATTCACAAAACGACATGTATTTGATTTCACCAGATGGACACACTACACTACACTAAAAACCAGATTGACTTCATCTCAATATGAAGAAAGTGGAGACGCAGCCAGCCTAGTGGACACAAGATCAGATAAAGAAGGGGAGCAGATGTAGGTCCTGACCACTCTACCTAGTGCAAGGAACCTACCTTCAAAATCAAGTTGAAAGCCTTCACAGACGTTGGTGATGGACCAGTGTTCAAGTTGAACACCCAGAACAGAAACTATAGGACGAAACCATAAAGGACACCTTCACATCAGTCATCAGGACAAAATGTGAGACACTAAGCAACATCCGTGAAGAAACCTACGTGGAAGAGCACTGGAACTCTGTAAAAGAGATATGGAAGGAAACCTGTACAACTGTGTTATGAAAAAAGAAGAAGAGGCAGGACAAGAAATGGATTTCCACGGACATATGGAAGCTGATAGAGGATGGAGAGGAAGATGGTGAAGCAGATGATGAAACAGTACATTGCAGTGCAGTGTACGGATGAACAACGAAAAAAGAAACCGAGTACAACGTATAAAACACTGGACAAAGAAGTGAAGGAGAGTGCGCGGAAAAACAAAAGACACTTCTACGACACACTTGCAACTGAAGCATAACAGGCTGCAGGTAGGAGAGACCTGACAGCACTGTATCAAATAACCGTGTTACTACGTGAGAAGAGATAAACGCAGGTGAAACCATTGAAAGATAGTGAGGAAAACTTAGTTAGGAAAGACGAGAAGCAAAGAAAACATTGGGCCGACCACTTCAGAAAACTCCGGAATCCACCACCACCACCTGTAACCCGTCCAGAAATACCACCAGCAGCGCAGCCGCAGAACTACCAGTGAACATATACCCTCCGACAAAAGCAGAAGTAAAGTCCTGAAATACATGAAGTTGCTTCAATCCGGGAAAGCAGTATGGCCAGATGGGACTCCTCCAAAAGCACTGAAAACATTCAGAGACAACAGCGAACATGTTCACACCACTACTGCAGAAGGTTTATAAGGAAGGGTGGCTGGCT